TCAGTCATTTTTGGAATACTGTGTGCAGTTCTGGTTGCTCTGCTATAGGAAGGATGTTGTGAAACTAGAAACGGTTCAGAAAAGATTTACAAGGATGTTGCCAGGGTTGGAAGGTTTGAGCTATAGGGAGAGACTGAATAGGCTGGGGTTATTTTCCCTGGAGTGTCGGAGGCTGAGGGGTGACCTTATAGAGGTTTATAAAATCATGAGGTGCATGAATAGGGTGAATAGCCAAGGTCTTTACCCTGGGGTGGGGGGAGTCCAAAACTAGAGGGGCATAGGGTTAAAGTGAGAGGGGAAAGATTTAAAAAGGGCCTAAGGGGCAACTTTTTCTTGCAGAGGGTGGTGTGTGTATGAAATGAGCTGCCAGAGGAAGTGGTGGAGGCTGGTACAATTACAACATTTTAAAAGACATCTGGGTGGGTGTGTGAATAGGAAGGGTTTAGAGGGATATGGGCCAAATGGGACTGGATTAATTTAGGATATCTGGTCAGCATGGACGAGTTTGACCAAAGAGTCTGTTTCTGTGCTGTACAACTGTGTGACTCTATCTGGAAATCTGTAGCCATTACCTGATTTGGTGTATGTGTGACTCCACACCCAGACCAATGTGCTTGACTCCTAACTACCCTCTGAAATGACCGTGCTACTTAATTTCAGATAAATTAAGGACAGGTAATAAATGCGAGCCTTGCAGTGACACCTACACCTGATGAAATGATTACATAAAAGGAAGGGAACAGGGATTGTGACCGTGCCTGCCCTATATCTGAATTATCGCTCACTCACAGGCATCATGGCACCTTGAGACCATTCACACTTTTCTGGTTGTGTGACTTCCAATTTCTAATAGAATAAGACTCAATTTTGCTATTAACATTTGCTCTTTTACCTAGGTATTGGATGAAGCCGATAGGTTGCTGGAGCAAGGCTGCACAGATTTCACAAAGGACCTGGAATTGATTCTCAGTGCTGTCCCAGCCCAACGACAAACTCTACTGTTCAGCGCGACTCTCACTGACACATTACAGGAGCTGAAGAAGATTGCCATGAACAAGCCTTTCTTCTGGGAATCAAAGACAGAGTAACTAAAAATACACATGGGGTTAGATACAGAGAAACAGAGTAAAGCTCTCTCTATACTGTCCCCATCAAACACTCCCAGAACAAGGACAGCACAGGGTTAGATACAGAGTAAAGTTCTCTCTACATTGTCCTCTGAGATAGGAACACCGTATGTAATGCCTTTTGTGGAATTTGCTGTGGTATTCCCAGTTAAACTCTGGTCTGAGAATTGTGAGATTTGATGGTGATGAGTTCCCCATATATTGTTAATGCTAATATTAAAGGGCGTAACATTGTTGTGGGAGGTGTGGCTGTGCAGAGAGTGTTTGAATTGATCTGATCTGTTTGTTTGTACATAGAGTTCGCACGGTGACAGAGTTGGATCAGCGTTATCTCCTGGTTCCTGAACGGGTGAAAGAAGCTTTCCTCGTGGAGATTATCCAGAAGTTTCAGGATGAACATGAGGATTGGTCCATTATCATTTTCACAAACACATGCAAGTGAGTTCCATTTAAGATGTATGTGAGAGTGCTGAGTAAACTGTATTTGAGCATCCAAGCGTACTCGTGTGACCATCTGTATATATGATTGTGCATCACAATAGGAGAATGTAAAGATGTGTGGAACACATGGGATCAATGACTCACCACATCCCTGCAGTTGGTTCTGGATCTCATTTCCACTTTCCTTTGCAGAATGTGTCAGATTTTGAACATGATGTTGCGGAGGTTCAACTTTCCATGCGGAGCCCTGCACTCAATGATGAAACAGGTGAGTGGTGACTGAGCGCAGCCTGGAATTACACCAACATTAGTCCACTATTTTCAGATATTCTTAATAATGTTGAAATGAAAGCTAAGATCAGTGACCTGCTGTTAATGAGTAGTCATCATTAAAGATTTAAATCCAATTCATTTTACAAGTGACTAGACCAGAGACCCCAGGGCAGACACAGCACAGCGTTAGTGTGAGTTTTATTCTCATATCCAGCCTTGTGCTGTGTCCTGGGAGTGTTTGATGGGGCCAGTGTAGAGGGAGCTTTGCTTTGTATCTAGCCCTATGCTGTTTCCATCTTGAGATCGTTTGAAGGGGATACTGTATTTACTCTGTATCTAACCACGTGCTGTCCCAATACTGGGAAGGAGATGGTGTCGACAGAATGTACTTTCAGTTTACTTTTAATTCAAAGAGTGGGGGAAGCTTTGCTCTTATCTAACCTCATGCTGCCCATATCCCAGGAGTGTTTAAATGGGATGTATCATGGGATCTTTACTTTCTGTTTTCTTTCAGTTTTAAAAGAGCAGAGGAAGCTTGACTTTTACTTTAAAAAGAGTAGAGCAAGCATTAATTTCATCAATTCAGGGGGTTAGATACAGAGTAAAGCTCTGTCTACACTGTCCCCACCAAACACTCCCAGGTCTGGGACATTGCCCTGGGAAGGGTGAATGAGCTTGCTCTGCACTGTGCTGATTAACTGTTTTCTCTCTCTACAGAAGCAGCGGTTTACCACACTTGCACAGTTCAAGTCAAGCATTTTCAAGATCCTTGTGGCCACAGATGTTGCTTCTCGGTACTGAATGACCCGCATAATGCCTTGTGGGGCCAGGGGAGAAATGTTCTGCGTTGACTGCTTTTCCATTCCCCTCCACCAGTGACTAATATCTAACTTGGACTTTTTCTCCACAGTGGTCTCGATATTCCCACAGTCCATGTTGTCATCAATCACAACACACCTGGACTGCCAAAAGTCTACATCCACCGTGTTGGTCGTACAGCCCGAGCAGGTAGTCAAACATGCAGCAATTGCAGCTTTTCGCCTTCTCTCTGACCTCTTTCCTTCACCCAATATTTTCAGAGTCTCCTCTCCTCCTGTGGTCAGTGATGAAATTGTTTTAATGATTCTGTTCTTTAGGTCGTCATGGCATCTCGATCACTCTGGTCACTCAGTACGACATTCACCTGGTTCATGCAATTGAGCAGGAAACAAGTGAGTATCATTTGGGTTGGGGTGCTGTGTGCAGAGCAGTGCAATGTGTGCATGGGCATACCTAACTATCTGTGGAGTTTTCAGCATTGATGCTTTAGTGCTTGAAATATCTAATTTATCTCAACAGAGATGAAACTGAAGGAGTTTTCTGTAGATGAGGAGAATGTGCTGAAGATTCTAACACATGTGAATGTGACTCGGCGAGAGTGCGAGATTGTAAGTAACTTGTACTTAGCCAGAATCCTTGACAAGGCTAAATCTGCTCCCCTCATCCTAAAACAATGAGCTGTCATTCTAGATTTCCCCGCATGAGGAAACATCCTGTCTACTGTGTCAACCCCCTTTATCATTTTATATACTTCAATTAGATCTCCTCTCATCCTTTTAACTTGAGTATAGGCTTAAACTGCTCAATTTCTCATAGGAGAAACCCCTAATTTCTGGGATCAATCTAGCGAATCTCCTCTGAAGGGTCTCCAACACAACTATATCCCTTCTCAAGTAAGGAGACCAAAACTGTACACAATACTCCAGGTGCAGTTTCACTAATGCCTTGTACAGTCGCAGTAGCACTTCCCTGCTTTTATACTCTATTCCTTTAGCAATAAATAGAGTCCTACAGCACGGAGATAGGTCCTTGCCGACCAAAACGTCCATCCACACTAAGCCCATATCCTTCTGAACCTTTCCTATCCATGTATTAGTCCAAATGCCTTTTGAATGGTGTTAATGTACCTGCCTCAACCACTTCTGCTGGCAGCTCATTCCATATGCGTACCATCCTCTGTGTAAAAAAAGTTGCCCCTCAGGTTCCCCCCTTACCTTAAACTGATGCCCTTTAGTCCTCGATTCACAAATCCTGGGAAAGACTGAGTGCATTCAACCTATCTATGCTTTTCATGATCTCATACACTTTCTATAAGATACCCCCCTCAGTTTCCTACACTCTAAAGAAAAAGTCCTAGCTTGTCCAACCTCTGCCTATAACTCAGTCCCTTGAGTCCTGGCACCATGCCTGTAAATTTCTTCTGCACCCTTTTCATTTTTATAGCAATGCGACCAAAACTGAACACAATACTCCAAATGTGGCCTCACCAATGTCCTGTACAACTGCAACATAACTTCCCAACTTCTGTACTCAAGACCCTGACTGATGAAGGCCAGTGTGCAAGAAGCCTTCTTCACTGCCCTGTCTACCTGTGACTCCATTTTCAGAGACCTATGCACCTGAACTCCACAGTCCCTCTCTTCCACTATACTCCTTAAGGCCCTACCATTCACCATGAAACTCCTACCTGGATTTGACTTTCCAAAATGCAACACCTTACATTTATCTATATCAAACTCCATTATTTCTCAGCCCACTTCTCCAGCTAATCGAGATCCTGCTGCAGTTTCTGACCACCTTCCCCACTGTCCATAATATCGCCTATTTTAGTATCTTCCGCAAATTTACTAATCATGCCTTGTATATTCTCATCCCAATCATTGATATGGATAACAAACAGCAATGGGCCAAGCACTGACCCCTAAGGCACACCACTAGTTACAGGCCTCCAGTGAGACAAGCATCCTTCAACTATTACCTTCTGCTTCCTGCCATCAAGCCAATTATGTGTCCAATGTGCCATTTCTCCCTGGATTCCATGCGATCTAACCTTCCAGAGCAGAGGCCTTCCTGAAATCCATGTAGACTGTCTATTGCCCTGCCCTCAACAACCTCCTGGTCACTTCATCAAAGAACTCTTAAATTTGTGAGGCATGATCTCCCACACAGGAAGCTATGCTGACTACTTCTAATCAAACCCTGTCTTTCTAAATGCATGTATATCTTTATCCATCAGAATCTTCTCAAGTAACTTACCTACAACAGATGTTAAAGCTTACTGGTCTATGATTCCCAGGTTTTTCTTTGCAGCCCTTCTTAAGGGCACAACATTTGCTACTGTCCAGTCTTCCGGGACCTCACCCATGGCTAATGATGATACAAATACATCAGCCAGGCTCCTGCAATTTCTTCTCTAGCCTCTTGCAGGATTCTTGGATATATCTGATCAGGACCAGGAGATTTATCCACCTTCATACATTCTAATACTTCCAACACCACCTCTATTATGATATGTACTGTCCCTAAGATATCGCCACTAACTTCCCAAGTCTTTGTGTTTACCGTGGGGAAAGACATAGAGAAGGAATATTCATTGAGGACCTTGCCCCATCTCCTGTGGTTCCACAGGATGCCAAAATTCTTTCTTCCTTATTACCTGCATAGTAGCTTCTCAAATGTAATCAGATGGTAATTTTGGCAGCGCTGATAATGACTCTTTTATCCCAGGAACTTGCGTCAACTGACTTTGATGAAAAGAAGGAAATCAACAAAAGGAAGCAGATGATTTTGGAAGGAAAGGTACATTTAGCTTTCTCCAATCTGTCAACTCCAAACACCACAGTTGCTCAGAAATAGTCTCTATCTCAGTTCAGCCTTTTCCTTGATTGGGCAATAGGGTAAGAACCATTTTTAAAAAAATATATATTATAGCATAGGATCTTAGAATTGCTGGCAAGACCAGCATGTTTTATTTATTCTTTCACAGGATGTGGGTGTCACTGGTGCGCACACCTTTAACCACCTTTTAGAAGATGATGGTGATCAGTTGGTGAAGTTGCTGCAAATTATAGACACTTATCCCTGTGCTTGGGGTATGTCAAAATGGCTGCTTTGTTCTGGATGGTGTTGAGCTGCTTGAGTAATGAAGTTGCACCCATACAGGCAAATATTCCATCCTACTACTGACTTGTGCCATGTAGACAGTGGATAGGGTGGGGAGTCAGCTGGTTATCTACTCACCACAGAACTCTCAGCCTCAGTATTAAATGGTTTGTCCAGTTGAGTTTCTGGTCAGTGGTAATGGTCATTGTGTGGAACGAATGTTACTTGCCACTTGTTAGCTCAGGTCTTGCTGCATTTGGACACTGACTGCTTCAATAAGAGTAGTTGCAAATGGTGCTGAACATTGTGCAGTCATTGGCAAAATCCCCATTCTGACCATACGGAGGGCAGGTCATTGATGAAGCAGTTGAAGATAGTTGGGCCTAGGACATGATTCTGAGGAACACACTCAACCATTTTTGTTTGTTAGGTATGACTCCACCTAGAGTTTTCGCCATAAATTTTGCCAGGGCTCCTTGGTGAAATGCTGCGCTCATTTGGATCAAGGCTGTAACAATTTGAGTAGCTCTGACAGGATCTAAACTCAGCACTGACAAATGTTTTTAAGAGCAGGTGTCGGTTGGTTTGTCAATAAACAGCAAAGTGATGGCAGGGGTTGTCAAGAGTGGTCTGATACTGCCTCATTGGACGTAGTGGCAAACTTCTGGTGTCAGCCACCACCAAGAAGGGTTTACACTAATTTTATTCTGTTTAAAGGATCCCGATATGGAGTTGGAAAAAATAAAAGAAGGAAAGAGGAAATTTCAACAGAGAATACACGAGACTTTGGAGAGACAGACAGCAACTCGACTCAAACACAAGCTGCTGAAGAAGAAAAGAAAACAAGCAAAGAGAAGAGAGCAACTTCAGAGTGGAGCTGGAATCTCATCCATGGACAAAAGTCTTAAATCTGTAACCACATCTCAAGCTGCCATTTAGTGACTATTTTCTAACACTGGTTTGCTGCAGTGGGGAACTGAATCATGTCCTAATTTCAATGTGGTGTTAAATATATCCATTGTACATATCTTTGTTTCCTATACGTGGCTCCTTATTGTCTTGTTTTATACAAGAAGGATGTGTTAGCATTTTGCATGCAACCTAATCAGGCCACGTTCTTGCTAGAAATTTGTCATTTGGGGCTGAGAACAATTGTTGAATTTGAACAGCTACATAGGGAATGGGAGCAGCTTTGGGCTAGTTGATAAGCTTTAGTAGTTAGCCATTTGCTTGTGTTCTGGATGGATATTGAGAGAGGAAGATTTTTTAAAAATCCAAGCTGCAACATTTGTATTTATTTAACAACAAGGGCATGAAACTATTGCATTCCATTTATCTTAGGTAAGTTAATCCATTGTTCTATTTAAACTCTGTGGTGCCTTTTCATGAGTGTATCGACTTAGCAAGTTGAATCAATATCTGTTGGAACAAACAGCCCCATTGTGCCTACACTCGAGGATGAAGCCAGTCACACTGTCCATAATCTAGGAAGATGTGATTGCACTAAAAGATTCACTAGGGTGGAATAATTCAACTCTGAAGACAGACTGCACAGTCTGGGGTTGTTTACCTTAGAGCAGAGAAAGCTGCAGAAAGGATCTGATTGAAATCTACAAAGTTTGAATGGCATATACTGGGATGAAACTTTTGCCCTCAGATAATCAGGAACAGGTGTAAGGTGAAGGGTGGGAGGTTTAGAGGATTTGATTAAAAATGTTATTCACTAATGGTTGGGTTATCTAGAACCCTACCTAACAGGCTGATAGAGGCAGGAACAAAAAATGCATTTTAGTTTAGACGAACATTTGAAACACAACATAGCATATAAGAGTATAGGCCAAGAGCTGGATGTTTGCTGTCTGGGGCAGACATGAAGGGCTGAAGATGCTGTTGAGGTCATATAGCCATAAACAAGTGAAAGGAGCTCAAGGTTTGTAAATGGTAGGGGTGGGAGACTAGTTTTCTCAAAAACAAAATGCAGGAGAAACTCCACTGATGCTGCTAGACCTGCTGAGTTTTTTTTCAGTACTTTGTTTTATTTCAGATCTCCAACAACTACAGTACTTTTATTGTAATTCTCTTGTTCTGTTCTCACTTCAGGCTGGTAAGGTGGACAGTTTAAAAGGGCATTTTATATATTTTCAATATCAAGTGAAACATCACCCTGTAGGGAAACTAACAAACAGACAGCAGCAAGCATTCAGTTAGAATAAACAGCTATAGAACACAGGCTGGGAGAAGACTAGGGTGCAAATTAAAGATGAGGTACATTCAGGCATAAGAATTTAAAACTGACCAAGGGTTATGCAGAGCTAATTTTATTAATGGTTCATGTTACAGACAAATTGGTTTAAAATAAAACAATTTAGACGAGTGGAAATGTATTTTCCCAATCTAACAGATGCAGAACCAGCACCAGAATCGTCATAGATTTTAAAATCAGAATTTCCTCTTCCTGCTACAAAGTAAAACAAAGCACAAAGCGTAAGTCAATCAGTGGAGGGGGGTGAATGAAGGTGATCTCCAATGGATTATATCTTTTACAGAGGGCTCACAGCTGAAAAATGATGAACTACCATAAACAAATGCAACTATTGAACTTCTAACAATTCCGCCAGGAAGCCAAAAACAAACAAAAAACAAACAAGTTTCATAAAAGGAGAAGCCCCTTCAGCCTGATCCCGTGCCCGAAAACATCTCGACCACTTGACAGGAGGGCTTACAGAGTTCACACCCGCCCTAAGTCCACAGCAGCTGCCTGTCAGACCGCTGGCCACCAGTAGGATTGGCATTGCTGAATAAAGAGACCATTGCATGGAGGAAGCACAGTTGCTCAAAGCCATACATTACACGTACAGCCATTAAAGAGACAACAGGCTAACCCAGTGTTCCTCAGCAACACAGCCCAATTCTTCAAATCAATCCAATTGTTACTGCAGAATTAATGAATGGGATTGACATCAGCAAAAAGAAATTGGGTAGTGAAAGGGTGAAGCTGCAAGTGGAACAAGCATATTCCCTGTGCATCTTTGTACCTTCAAGCAAACTAGACTCCACTTAAGGATGAGATGTGTTTTAAAAGGGAGTCAATAGTTGGAAGTCAAGGCCTGGAGTGACGTTCACCTTGCACACAAATACTGTGCCTTTTGTTTTAATTGAATTTTTGGACAGCTGCAAGGGTTTTCTAATATTCTGTAATGGGCAACACATTGACTTGGTTGCCAGGTCTTTTAGAGAAGCAGTGGTTCTGTATTGTAGCTAGTTGGACTTGCCCTACTCTGCCTGGTAGTGAGAATGTTCTCAATTGAATTCATGTGGAAAATGACAGACTTCATAAACCAGATTCTCTCTGCACAACAGAAACTAGGGCAAAGTGTAATACATAGTATTACAGACAAAACCCTTTCTGCATTCATTCGAGATGAAAACCCTGGCCTTCATTATTTAGTGTTCAAGACTGTCGCCCTGAACTTCAACATGGATGCAAGAGATAATTGTACAAGCTTATGTTTGCTTCTTGCCAATGATGGAAAGTTCTTTACTTTCAAAAACAGCTTAGGTTTCCCAAAACAAAAAGTTTTAATTGGGTTAGGGCCAAACAGGAATCCTGCCAGTATCCACACAATACAAATCTTTGCACTGGTATAACTACATGCACAAAGCTGTTCTAAAGGTACTTGTTTAAAAGAATTCAGTAATAAATGTAAATGACACTGAAATTAATGGAACAAATTAAGCTTCATACTTTAAAAGTTTCACTCTGATTTCTGATTTAACCCGTTACCAAGTGATTCATTTCGATGTTCAGACAAAAATTTAACAGCTGCCCAGACAATTCTTCATGTGTTCCTGCTTCCCTTAGTTTGATCCAGTCAGCATGCTGAGCCCAAAGCCAGCACGTCACACTCATGTGAAAACATTCCTGTAACCCTCCTGGCACTGGGTGCTTCACTATAGCTCTCAATGGCAATGTAAACACTGCTTGCCCAACAAAGACAATGCTGCAGTCACTTGCCTGCCTTCCTGGATTCATTGTGGGCTGGGGTGATTCTAAAGCAGGGACCGCTACTCTGCTGAAATCCCTTTGCTGATCTCATCACTCTCAGAAAGCTAGAAGCTAAAAAATCCTATTTGGAAGCAGATCATCTTAAAACAGAATATGATGGGAAAAACATCCACAATCAGCTGATTACAGTGGGTTTAAAAACCTCTTCCTTGGACTAACCAACAATGGTCTGACTGATTATTCTTGCCTGAGGAGCAGTGGCCAACATCAGCTTTTCCTGTCATTCTGTGCATTTCTAATAAATGTAAAACTTGCAAAAAAGATAACTGAGCAGAATTCTCCCACAGCCCAGTGCTGGGATCTGACAGACAGTCCACAGTTAACCCTTCATGAACCCCAACTTGGAACACCAGTTACTGCAGAAGATTTGAGAAAGCAACATGAAACAGTAGCACTGGGCAGAAAGCCTGAATCTTGAGATCAACTCACGACTTTGAAGTGAATGAAGGGGTGGAGGCACAAGGCAGCTCTGTGTCAACTGGGTTTTGCCAGAAATTAATCTTTGCTTCTCGACGGTCTAACTGCTGAAATTTACAGTATAATCGCTAATTGTAGCGTCCAGAGCACAACTGAGAGATAACATTCCCTTTTATTCCCAAAACCAAGAAGGTCTCCCACGTTCTCCAGGAAACGGGTAGTCCGGATGTAGCAGGTAACTGTTAGTTTAGCACGAGCCCCTCCTCTCTCCCTTGTTTGATGAGCTGGGAGCAGGGTCTCAGCAACATGTGGTTTCTTTCCAAGGGCGAGTTGCGTGGTAACAGCAATACAGTTTAGTAGATGTGTGAGACCAGGCCTGGCCTGGCTGACAAGGCGCACAAGTGCCCTCTATTTCTTCGTTCCTCCAGTCAATCTCCTCGTCTCAATCTGCTAGCAGTGGTCTTTCTCTCTCCTCCTCCTTTCTCCTTTTTCTCCTCTCTTCCTCCCGTTTGGTTGGTTTTTCTCTCTCCTGTTGCTCTCTCACAGTTGATGCCTCGGTAGTCGCAGTGGAAACAGGTATCCATTTTTGTTTTTATTCCCCAGATTGAATTACTGTTGAACTAAGCTTGGCTCAAGCCTAGCTCTCCTCTCCTTAACCTGGACAAACAAAGGGCGGGGGGTTGTCAAACAAAGAAAAAAACACAACCCCTATTTTTAACCATTTTGACACTAGAATAATCGCTATAAAATGTTAATTACAAGGAACAGGTACAATTGCCCAGACACTACCCCCTGCCCTCCACCACCACCACCCTCTCTCAGTACTGCTCTGTTCCCACTCCCCCAACCCTCAAATCTTCAACCCCTCACTTCCCAAACAGCTCAAGTTAGCTGCAAATGAAAGTGTGTTTTGGGGTGAATACCCCTCTGCACTTGCTGTCTGCAGCCACACTAACTAAATCTGGTGAATGGCAGCGAGAAACTTGCTTACATTCTAGTACTGTGACAGCCCAGTCACCCCATGTTGATATGCACGTTCGCCCTGGTAAGTGGAATCCTGCGACAAGGCCACGTCAATCTGAGACTTGAACTCATCTCCCAGGTAACTATCCTGGAATTAAAGAGAACATATTCCGAAATCCAATTATTTGACAAAAGCAGATTTAGGTTGAATGATAGAATTTTCAATAAGATCAGATAATCAGGATGTTACATTGCACACTTACTAGGTATAGAAGACAAAACAATGAAACAAAAGGGATGGGAAAGAAGGACAGCCAATAGAGAGGGCTTCAGAAGTTGATGGAGAGACAGAGCTGGGTAATATTAGAGGTGAAATCAGTCAGACTCTACGGCAGAGGGGGCAATTCAAAGCTCAACTTTGGGATAATGTTGCAGTTCTCAAAAACCTCAGCATATAAGCAAAGAACTCAACAGCACATGATTCTTCTTTTTTAAAGTGCTGGACAGGTGTAAGTGTGAACAGTACAAAGAATTACCTGAGAGAGTTCTGGCTGAGAAAGGCCAGGCTGGCTCATTTGAGAGGGCTGGCTCATTGAGATGTATCCCTGGGTCAGAGGCCCCTGAGAGAATGGTTGAGACACCACATCCTGACTGGCCTGGCTGTTGGGCAGATTCGACTGGCTGTTCAGCTGGTTCCCCATGCCACGGTTTCGTTGACGAGCCCCACGGCCCACTTTTCCTTTTGCGATTCCACGACCTTGAAAGAAGAAACTTGCTTTGAACCTGCCTGGCTATGACCCAAATGCTCCTAACCTGATACAAACAGAGGACAGCAGGATCTGTTGCTTTTCCAGCAGTGCATAACCCCACTGCACAAAATAAAGACCCTGAAGGTTCAGCATTCTGAATGTAATACCACATACAATTATGCAGTGATCTGAGATAGGGCTGATGAGTGCCCGAAGTGCTCAAGAAGCCAACCACAGATCCCAGCAGGCCAAGCTGCAAATGCTTCACATTTCCCTTCCAAGATGAATTAGGAACGATGGATCAGAATACACCCACTATTAAAATTCATTACGACTTAATGTGACAGGGAGTACCGAACACTAGCAATTTAAGTTTGAAAATTAAACCCTTCGGGGGTCACTAATTTCAGAATTGTAACTTCTGCATAAAATATCAATACCCTTACAACCCGAGTATCCAGTACTTTGGTTCCAGTTCATCCAGCATCCCACCCTAGGACATCACACTAACCCTGATACATCCATCTCTGTGCTCACCTGCTGCTGGTCCATTTGCTTGTCCAAAGTACCCAGGTGGTGGCATTGGGGGCATCATCAGGTTAAAGGGAATGGGGATGTTCATTGCAGCAACGTGACTGGGGCTGGCTCCAATCATCCCAATCTGGTCATGAGTTTGAAAGTACATGTTGGATGGACGACCTGCTGAAGGAGAAAGTAGTGCAAATATTAGGAGAAACTTGCCTGAGGAGCCCCAACAGTCACCCAGCACATTATACTAGGACATGGGGGACTAGTTTACATGCCGCTTATGGACAACAGTGACAATTTTCATGCAAGGTAGTAGGGGTGCAAGTAGGCTTATTGCATTAGGGTTAATTCCCTTTCCCATTTTTTTTCATCATAGTTCCTTAATGTTCACAGCAACAAGATGAGAATTTCAATGAACATCTATGGAACCAGACACAGTAAGAAACAACAACACAGTATCACAACTGATTTAAGACAACAAGCCCATAATAGCGAAATGTAGGGCATAAACTGATGAAACATTCTGTTGGACTAAACTATTTAAAATTCAAAACTGAGATCAAATACAATCTTACCCTGGCCACTCCTGTCATATACAGAGCCTGGGATGATAGCTTCTCGAGCATCGTACATAGCTGTCGTCATGAACCGGGCTCCCTAAAACACAACAATATTGATTACAGCATCTCTGCTATACAAATATAGAACTACTATTGATAAGAAACTTTTTGAATATTGAACACCAGTCAATTAGCTGAAGTCCAACAAAACTATTAAAATCTGCAACGGGAGAAGTACAATAGAGTCAAGTCAAAGCATGCTATAATCTAGTCTAAAAAGGTGACCATTTAAGCATGGTCAATTTTTGTAAAAAACCTATCTGGTTACCTAGGGAAGAGAAGCTGCTTTCCTTACATGGTTTGGCTTACACACAATTCCTTGCCAACAATGCCCAAATCCCATGTAACAAAAACTAATGCTATGCAGACACTAGAATACAGCCCTTTCAAATAGGAGTCAGGTTAACACATCAAAGTCAAGCTATCATTTAGCAGAGGAAGAAGAGTATGTCAGTTGTAAGCAGCCAGCTTCCCGCTGAGATCTCAGGCCACGCATCAGAACACATACTAAGAAAAGTTAGAACCATTCCTACTAAAAGGGTTAATTGTGAAGATGGCTCTCTGCTTTCCTAACTTCAACCAAGAAAGGAAAGTATGTAAAACCCTGTACTGCACCAGAAGTCTGACATGAAACACTGTAAATGTCATGTCTGTTCTTGTTTTATTCACTCCTGGGATATGAACGTCACTGGCTGGGCCAGAATTATTACCCATTCTTCGTTCTTCTTGAGAAGGTGGTGAGCTGCCTTCTTGAACCGCTGCAGTCCATGTGCTGTAAGTGGACCCACAATGCCCTTGGGAGGGAATTCCAGGATTTTGACCCAGTGAAACTAAAGGAACGGCAATATATTTCCAAGACAGGATGGTGATTGGCTTGGAAGGGAATTTGCAGTTGATGGTGTTCCCATTGTAAATGTAGGGAGGAGCCTCATCCAAACAAACTGGACTGAGATAAATTAATTACTTTTCACTATATCACACAAGTTTGCAAATTTTATGGATGAAGTGTGGGTATCCAGAACATGCCAAAACTTGCTGGTCTGCACACGGCGGGGGAATGAGGCTAACCTTGGCTACAATCACAGTTTGACCAACAGGGAACCAGCTAATCTACTACAAACCTAATGCAAGCAGTTGGCGACTTGGGGCCAGCAGTTAAACATTGGCTGGACAGTTTGCTCACCGGATTGATGGTGTTGACAAGCTTCCGTGGTTTGCTGAACTGCATCAGACTCTCGCGGAGATTGTTCAGTGGTCCCTCCACCAGCACTTTCTGCTCTTTGTAGTAATTCAGCAGGTGATTCCACAGTGGCTGTTTGGACAGAGCCTTTGGATTTCCCACAATAATCACACCATATCTGCCAAGCAGAATCGATACAACACATCAGCAACTTGCAGCTTGGATCAAAGGGGAAAATCCAATGATCTACTGGCCCAATCTAACAGCTCGATCCAAATCATAGATCCAAGATTCTCCAGGATTCACCTCAAAGAGTGATCCACTTAACATGGGTGTAAAGAAAAAGTGGTCATACAAGGAACAGTAGTTCCTGTACACTGCCCCAAACAGGAATCTTGAAATTTGAATTGCAGGTGTTTGTACTACTAACCAGTAGTTCAAATACCACCCACCCATAGGGCATATTCTCCCAGTCATACAGAAAATCAATTCATATCTTCTAAACGGAGCAGAAGTGGCAGTTTGTTCGTGGCAATGCAAGGGTCCGATTCAAGGATAAGAACAGAAAGGATTATCAGCAGGGCAAAGAAGCAGATACACAAAACGAGAAGCATCTTGTCCTTTACAAGTTACAGAATTGGGATAAATACTGTTTCCACTGACAGAACATAGGGATAGTAGCAGTACCAGTAACAGTGATCCGTTACAATTCGATACCATGCTACAAGCCACAGCCATCCACAAACACTTCTCACTTTACTCTCGAAGTGTTGTCCCTGATAAGAGGAGATTCACTCAGGATCAAGGACTAACATGACATCCCCAGCGACATGAGATATAGTGAGATAACATTTAGGACCTGATCTTGTACCATCCTGCAACCTAACTCTTCACTTTGTCCTGTACCATCTCCCCCTCATACTCTTTTGCATCCAGTCACCTCGCTCTTGTGAGGGCAACATTCAGTCGCCGTGGGTCATTGAGAAATCCAATGCCTTGATGCTCATTGGCTCGGACACACGATAGGATGATGAAGTCCTTCTCTCGGCCTTGGAATGCATCAACACTGGCAATTTCTACCTCCTGAATCATGAGCACAAACAAGAATTTTACATCTTCCAACCGTTTGGTTGTCACACACTAATCAATCATTAGAAAACACCAAAATACCACAATTATACTCCTGTAATTATTGTTAGTGTCTCAGAAAAAGCATAATCAAATACAGCAACCAAATCTTGACAGTTCGCTTAAAAAGCATCAAGATACTTATAATGCTACCTGATAGAGTTTGGTGTGAAGGGAGCCACTGAACTGCATGTACTGCACCAGGTAGGATCGCTGTCCCTCATATGGTGTGATGATGCCGATTTGATCTGGCTTAGCACCTGCCTTCAGCAATTTGGTGGTGATCTTCTCTACATTGGCTGCCTCAGTCCTGAAAATGGAGTAAGGTTCAATTTCACTTCAACAAACATTATAAAATCTGGTGATTTTAACAAACAGCTTTCCATTGTAATCTGAACCCAACTATAGGTTAAAAAAATCTTACTGCGTCCAAAATTGGCTGCTGCACTTTGAAAGTGATTCATAGATCATGAAGTGGGAGACAAAGTGTGCATCATTTGAAAAATAAGATTCTTTGCACCTCTCCCAAAAAGCAAAGGAATGACAACTTGCTTAATTTGTGAAGAATTATCCTGAAGAATGTTTGATTAAAAATATACGTTATCTTTCAAGTGGCTTCAGAGCTCAAAAGGATTAGGATCTGTTAACCATAAACATACCTATTGAGGTAGGAGGTCCCTGAACTAGCAATTTCCTCCTGGCCCTGGGTTACATAGAAGAACATTGGTTTGTCTGGCTGTGGCCATTGGAAATCGAAGCCTTTCTTAACACGATCCGCTGTGAAATCAAAAGATCATCAGAACAACAATGACAGGTCCATCCACTTGCCTTGTCCATACACTCACGCAAGACGACTCGCACTGTTAAATCTACTATTACAGCAATAAGACACTTAAGAACCTCCCAAATCAAATTATTTACAATCCAGTTAGGTTGCTAAATTTGCTGACAAAATAAAGTGATGGGGACTGAGTTGCCAGAATTACTAACCATTTTGTTGATTAAAAACAAAATGTTTTTGTAGCTTTAATCTAATTCACCAATGTAAAGAGTTTTGGTTGGGTTTACTTGGAAATAAAAATGGTGTTGAACACTCTACATTCTGAGGATGTGCTGTGTACCTATTTTTGGGTGATCTATTTTAGTTTGGGAAATATGGCTTCTACTGTCACCAGTTTCTCCACCATCAGTCACAATGACACTGGAATGGCAAACTGAACCAACATTCCAGCAAGTGGGTAAAAAGCAGATCCATTATAGTTTCAAGTTTTATAACTAGGGAAGGGGATCATCCACAAATAGTCACACTCAAGGGGGCCCCTAAATCAAATTCCCATGCTGACCTCCAAAAACACCAGCAAATATGACTGTAGGAAATGGTTGCTAGTGCACAAGAGAAGCAAAATTAATCTTCAGCACATACAGAATCTTAATAACAGGTACACAGAAACTTAATTGCCTAAAGGACATAGGTTTAGGGATCTGTTTGCAAATGAGGATTTAAGGAGAAATTTGCAAATTACCCCACTTCTAACATTCATACCTGCTGTGACACCATTTTGCAGTGAGCCCTCATAGAAGATATTGGATGGAAAGGCACTGAGAGCTGGATGCATCCGGTATTGAACCTGCAGACGAATTGGTCGGATCCCCAGGACAACCAGACGCTCAAACAGCGACTGAGACAGACCAGCTTTAGCAGCTTTCTTACACATTACCACTGGACCAAGCTGGCAATGGTCACCCACCAGGATCAGCTGTAACAGAAAGACAGCACACAGCTCCAGTTCACTGTTATACTCACGTACCAGCTGCTAACCTCATTCTCATGTCTCAGTCAAAAGGAAAACTTTGAATATTGCTGAGTCATCTCACCCAGTATAAACCATGAAGTTAGTTCCTCTTGTACAAAGTCTGAATTCAATCCACAATGTGATCAAAACCCTCTCCCCTTACTGTAGGGGTCTCCATGAAACATCACCTGGTATTGTCAAAACATACAATGGACAAATCCATCCACATATTCACAGCTCTAACCAGATTAACCCCAATTCAGTTTATACAGCAAATCACAGTGGATAAGTCCATGCATCTTTTTGGGAATCGGAGTTTCCTTCCCTCAAAGACTTTAGTCAACCAGATGTGTTTTTCTGACAACCGACAATGGGTTTATGGGCTTCATTCCAGACGTTTATTGAACTCAAATTCAACCAACTGCCCCATGGTAGGATTCTAAGCCAGGCCCAGGGAACATTACCAGGGTCTCTGGATTAATAGTCCAGCAATGGGAGGCATGGGATTCAGGGAAATTTGGCTGTCTGGATACAAAACTGGCTGTCCAATAGAAGACAGAGGGTGGTAGTAGATGGAAAGCATGCAGCCTGGAGCTCGGTGATCAGTGGTGTTCCGCAGGGATCTGTTCTGGGACGTCTGCTCGTTGTGATCTTTATAAATACTTGGATGAGGAAGTGGAAGGGTGTGTTAGTAAGTTTGCCGATGACACGAAGGATGGTGGAGTTGTGACAGCGTGGAGGGCTGTTGTAGGTTGCAACAGGACATTGACAGAATGCAGAGCTGGGCAAAGAAGTGACAGAGGGAATTCAACCCAGAAAAGTGTGGAAGGTTGAATTTGAATGCAGAATACAGGATTAATGACAGGATTCTCGGAGTGTGGAGGAACAGAGGGATCTTGGGGTCCATGTCCACAGATCCCTCAAAGTTGCTACACAAGTCGATAGGATGGTTAAGAAGGCGTATGGTGTGTTGACTTTCATTGGCAGGGGAATTGAGTTTAAGAGCAGTGAGGTTATGCTGCAGCTCTATAAAACTCTGGTTAGACCACATTTGGAATATTGTGTTCAGTTCTGGTCACCTCATTGCAGGAAAGATGTGGAAGCTTTAGAGAGGGTGCAGAAGAGATTTACCAGGATGCTGCCTAGACTGGAGGGCAGGTCTTATGAGGAAAGGTGGAGGGAGCTAGGGCTTTTCTCAATGGAGCGAAGGAGGATGAGAGGTGACTTGATAGAGGTGTACAAGTTGATGAGAGGCATAGATTGAGTGGATAGTCAGAGACTTTTTCCCAGCGGAAAAATCATGAGGGGGCATAATTTTAAGGTGATTGGAGGAAGGTATGGGGAGATGTCAGTAGTAGGTTCTTCAGACAGAGAGTGGTGGGTGCGTGGAATGCGCTGCCGGCAGTGGTAGTGGAGTCAGATACTTTAAGAGACTTTTAAGCGACTGTTGAATAGGCACATGGAGGATAGTAAAATGTAGGGTATGCAGGGTAGATTGATCTTAGTAGGATAATAGATCAGCACAACATCGTAGGCCGAAGGGCCTGTACTGTTCTACGTTCTTTGTTCAATAATACCACTCGACCATCACCTCCCCATACCAACTGCCAATTAATCAGAATTTCTGACATCTGTACATTAGATCCACAAAGTGAAAACAGGCCTTGTCTTCAGAACATAAAGCCCAGTTACATTACTTGCAACACTGGTTGACATACCTGCTTTGCTCCCAGCACCACAGGGACCATACATTCAGGCTCTGTGGCCTGTGTGCTCTCATCAATGAGAATAGAACGGAACTGCATCTTAGCCAGGCGTGGGTCACCAGCTCCTACACAGGTACAGCAAATAACATCTGCATTCTGGAAAAAACAGATTTAGCAGACAAGAACTCGGTCAAAACTCAAAAACTTTTCAAATATAACTGTTGCAATATTCAGCCTCATCTGTAATACCTCAGCCCAGCATATCCCTCACCCTCCTGTTTCCAAAGATGGAGAACCGACCCTAGTTCAAAGGAGGAAGGACAGCATGCCAGGAGAAGCGCCAGATATGCCTAAACTGAGTCATTAACCTGGTAAAACTACCATGCAGGATTTACCTGGGTGGCAAACGGCATAAGAGCAAGTGATTGACAGAGCCAACTGATCCCACAATCAACATATCATTTCGAATATCTGCAGTCCTCCAATATGGATAATTAAACTAACTAAGGTGGAAGTTCCACAGATTTTCCCATCCTCAGTAATGGGGAGCCCAACATGTCAGTGCAAAACATAAGGCTGAAGCATTTGCATCAGTCTTCAAACACAGTTGAATGGATGATCAACTGCCTCGTCTCACCCACGGGGTCCACAGTATCATCATAGAAGCCAATCTTCAACCAAATCGAGTCATTCCAGGTGGTATTGAGAAATATCTGAAGGTACCTGGATACCACAAAGCCTATGAGCTCTGACAACATTCTGGCAATAGTATTCAAGACTTGTGCCCTAGAACCAACTGTGCCCTCAGCCAAGCTGTTGTAGTACAGTTACAACACTGACGTCTAACCAGCAATGTGCAAAATTGCCCAAGGATGTCAAGTCCACACAAAAAAAAAAAGGACAAATCCAACCTGGTCACCAGCCACCTCTCTTTCCGCCACCGCCCCTTTCCATACCACCTTCAACCTTCACTCCCTTCACAAACTGCCATGGTGCCTTGACAGCACCATCCAAATTTGTAATCTCTACCTTGAAGTACAGGGGCAGTAGAAATGAGTAAAACCACCACCTGCAAGTTCCCCTCCAAGTCAGTCACCATCCTGACTTGGAAATATATCACCATTCCTTCACTGTTACGGAGTCAAAATCCTGCAACTGGAACCCTAACAGCACCATGGGACTACCTACACTCCAAGGGCTGCAGCTATTCAAATAGGCAGCCCATTATCACTTTCCCAAGGGTAATTTGGAATGGATTCAAAAATGCTGGCTTTGACAGTCACTCCCACATCCTGTGAATAAATATATCTCTCCAATCCATCTAAGGACAGAGGCCCTTTCCCAAACCCTCAAAGCAGGTTTTCCTGGTCTGCTTCTTGAAACTCTACTTGACTACAACTCCACAATTTTTCAGTCACTCTCCCTAGGACAGATGGCTGACAACACCCCTCTCTAGGCCTCAGCACTGTCAATATGAACTTTATGCTGACACCCAGCACATACACTAGGGAGTTATGCAGCATACAATTTATGAAATGGAAATCAGGATTGTGACAGATTTCTCACCATCAGCAGTTCCCGCTCAGCTGTCCTTTTGAGAGCACGGTAGCGTTTCTCATCTGCAGATGACAACTCGCCAGTCTCATCCTTTAACTGCTGCAACTTTTGCAGTTCAGGCATACTGTCAAACAGGGCAAACATGTTATATGATGTAAACACCAGTTATCAAAGACACACAAATTAGGGAAATTTGGGCTATACTCCAGACTGCATTGTCATATATATGAATTTGTGCATTAGCTACACGATACAGCAATGGACAAACGCAACATATTTTGCCACTGCAGTTACTGATGGCCCTCAACAAGTTGGTAACTACAACTCAGCCAGAACTAGTCACACTCTCATACTTGTACTCTGTTGGGAGCAGCTTCCAAATATGTAGATTAGGATCACCTTGATGAAGCATAACCCACACTCAAGAACAGCTTAGTTTTCTACGAGAGATCTGCTACTTTAGCTTGCACTGCATGTGAAACGTAAAAGAATTACCAAGTCTAGAGAGCGAGAGGCTAAGGCAAAAGATCAGGAATGACCGCTCAAACTCAATCAAGCAAGGGTTAAAAAAATTTAGACAAAGCTGTCATTCCTGATTACCATCCATATATTTTGGGAAAGGGAAGGGATGAGCAATGATGCTTTATGTGGTCAAGTACACCAGGCTAAATGAATGGCTCCATTGCCAGTGTGGAGCCATATCCTTCAGAGATACCAGGTAGAGAGCTCAGCATTACAGAATGTCGTCATAAATCCACCAATTACAACTTTGTCTTAGTTACAAGCAATTTCAGTCCCCTGTATGATCTTTGACTTAGAGATTACTATCATAGGCTTGGATCTTGTGCAGATTCTTGCATTTTCATTATGATGGGCAAGTGCTAAAACAATTAATGCACAATACTAAGCTATTAATTGGTGAAAAAATGTAATTAGGGCCAATCCATCACAAACAGAACTCTCGGTCAATCGAGTCAACACTGACACTCCAAACAGCATCCCAACTAGACCCAGCCCCGACCTTATAACCCTGCATTTCCCATGAATAGTCCACCAATGTGAACACCCCTGGACATTATGGGCAATTTAGCATGGCCAATCCACCTAACCTGTACATCTCTGGACCATGGGAGGAAACCCACACAGACTCCAGGAGAATACGCAAACTCCACACAGATAGACAGGCACTCGAGGCTGGAATCAAACCTGTTAACCACTGAGCCACTGTGCCGCCCGAAATATGAGAGTGACAGACTCTGCAGACTACAGTGTAAAGTAATCATGAAATGCTGTATATAAGATGGGAACCGGAGCTACAGATCAGAGGGTGGGGTAGCTGGTGCATAGACAGATACAGCATGCAGAGTCCGTGAGGAAGGATAGAGAGTTGAAAGGGCAAAGTTGCAGCCTGTGTGATGGATTGAAGTGCGTCTATTTTAACGCAAGAAGTGTCAGGAATAAGAGTGATGAACTTAGAGCATGGATCAGTACTCAGAATTATGATGTTGTGGTCATTACGGAGACTTGGATAACACAGGGGCAGGAATGGTTGTTGGATGTTCTGGGGTATAGATCTTTCAAAAGAAATAGGGAGGGAGGTAAAAGAGGTGGGGGAGTGGCATTGCTAATCAGGAATGGTATCACAGCTGCAGAAAGGGAGGTTAGCGAGGAGGGTTTGTCTACTGAGTCAGTATGGGTGGAAGTCAGAAACAGGAAAGCAGCAGTCACTTTATTGCGAATTTTCTATAGGCCCCCCAATAGCAACAGAGACACTGAGGAACAGATTGGGAGGTAGATTTTGGAAAGGTGCAGAAGTAATAGGGTTGTTGTCATGGGTGACTTCAATTTCCCTAATATAGACTAGAACCTCCTAAGTGCAAATAGTTTGGATGGAGCAGATTTTCTCAGGTGTATCCAGGAAGGATTTCTGACTAAATATGTAGCTAGACCGACTAGAGGGGAGGCCACATTGGATTTAGTGCTTGGCAATGAACCAGGCCAGGTGACAGATCTCTCAGAGGGAGAACATTTCGGTGATAGTGATCACAACTCCCTGACCTTTACTACAGTCATAGAGAGGGATTAGAGCAGACAGTATGGGAAAATATTTAATTGGGGGAGGGGGAATTACAATGCTAATTGGCAGGAACTGCGGAGCATAAATTGGGAACAGATGTTCTCAGGGAAATGTCCTTGCCACGGGTGCTGGAAATTTTTGTCCCACTGAGGCAAGGAAAGGATGGTAAGGCGAAGGAACCTTGGATGACAAGACATCTGGAACATCTACTCGAGAGGATGAAGGAAGCAAGGATTGGACAGGGCTCTAGAGGGTTACAAGATAACCAGGAAGAAACTGAAGAATGGACTTCAGAGAGCTAGAAGGGGGCATGAAAAAGCCTTGGCTGGTAGCATCAAGGAAAACCAAGGCATTCTATATTTATGTGAGGAACAAGAGGATGGACATAGTGAGGGTAGGGCCGATCATGGGTAGTGGAGGGAACTTGTGCGCTGAGACGGAGGTGGTAGGGGAGGTCCTTAATGAATATTTTGCTTCAGTAGTCACCAGTGAGAGGGACCTTCACGTTTGTGAGGACAGCATGGAACAGGCAGGTACGCTCGAACAGGTTGATGTTAGTAAAGAGGATGTGCTAGAAATTTTGAAAACAATGAGGACAGATAGTCCCCTGGGCCAGATGGGATATACCCAAGGTTACTTGGTATAAATGACTTGGATGAGGAAGCAGAAGGGTGGATTAATAAGGTTGCCGAGGACACGAAGGTTGGAGGAGATGTGGACAGCGTGGAGGGCTGTTGTAGGTTGCAACAAGTCATTGACAGGATGCAGAGCTGGGCAAAGAAGTGGCAGATGGAATTCAACCCAGAAAAGTGTGAAGGGATTCATTTTGGAAAGTTGAATTTGAATGCAGAATACAGGGTTAATGGCAGGATTCTTGGCGGTGTGGAGGAACAGAGGGTTTTTGGGGTCCATGTCCATAGATCCCTCAAAGTTGCGACCCTAGTTGATAGGGTTGTTAAGAAGGCGGATGGTGCATTGGCTTTCACTGGCAGGGGGATTGAGTTTAAGAGCTGCGAGGTTATGCTGCAGCTCTATAAAACTCTGGTTAGACCACACTTGGAACATTGTGTTCAGTTTTGGTCACCTCATTATAGGAAAGATGTGAAAGCTTTAGAGAAGGTGCAGAAGAGATTTACCAGGATGCTGCCTAGACTGGAGGGCAGGTCTTATGAGGAAAGGTGGAGGGAGCTAGGGCTTTTTTCATTGGAGCGAAGAAGGATGAGAGGTGACTTGATAGAGGTGTACAAGATGATGTGAGGTGTAGATAGAGTGGATAGTCAGAGACTTTTTCCCAGGGGAAAATCATGGGGGGGCATAATTTTAAGGTGATTGGATTAAGGTTTGGGGAGATGTCAGGTTCTTCACACACAGAGTGGTGGGTGCGTGGAATGCGCTGCCGGCAGTGGTAGTAGAGTCAGATACTTTAGGGACATTTAAGTGTCTCTTGGATAGGCACATGGACGATAGTATAATGAAGGGTATGCGGGTTAATTTGATCTTAGAGTAGGATAATAAGTCGGCACAACATCGTAGGCTGAAGGGCCTGTAGTGTGCTGTACTGTTCTATGCTCTAAGAGGAGCTCTCCCATAGCCCTCAGCTACACTAACCACAAAAAAAATTAACTGTTCTTTTAATGTGGTGCTCTTGAAGCACTCTGGGACACCGAGGTCATGAAAGGTGGAATCCTGAAACAATCAATTGTCTGCTTACAGCACCCTATCACAAGACCATGTTTTAGTTCAAAGCAGGCCCAGGATTATCTATAGATGCTGACTTCTGGACTGTCTATTAGAAGGGCCACCAACTAACAGTTGCTTCTTACCTATCCATGTTACGGATCTGATTGTGTAGAGCTAGGAAAGAGACTGGTGAATCAATGGCCTCCCGACTCTTGGCACAGAGACGCACCACCTTCAGACCTGTATGATGGATCTTCTCAGTCAACTGGTCCACTGCAATATTACTCGGAGCACACACCAGGACAGGGCTAGAATTAAAAAGGAAAGCAGATTAGATCCCTGCAACAGCAGCTCATCCAACACAGCAATAATTTATTTTAAACGTATTTTAAATTTCAGCCCAGAATGACTTCATACAACCAGGATATCCCACACAGACACCTTTAACACAACAAGTTTAGTTTCAATAAGCTCAACTCCTGCTTCACCAATTTGAACGCAGCCCAAGAAATCGCAAAACAGATGAGAAAGTCAGTTAGTCATCCTAACTGAACAAAAGTGTTGCCTGTCTCACAAACCAAGATTCCAAGATGTATCAATGAAAATTCTTATATCACCCAAGCACAGTGAGCGTCATCCTTTTTAATGTTTGATGATGGCAGGACATTACTAAAGCAGATACACTGATAGTAGGAAAATATGCATATGACCCAGGAAATATTAACCTTTATACAGAGATTTATGATCAGAAGCAGGAACGGGTTTAAGTATGGAGGTATGAACACAGGACCTCAACCATGCTAGAAAATGAGTTAACTCAATTTACAGTTGTTGCACAATCCTGATATTCATTGCTCTCTAACTGATAACCTTCAGCTGCTGAGTGGCCAAACTCTGGAATTTCCCCTCTATATGTCACCACCTCTTTTACGATGCTTCTTCAAACCTACCTCTGACCAAGCTTTTGGTCACCTGCCTGAATATTTCATTGTATGGCTGAGTATAAATGAATTAGGGGATAAACACTGGTCTTTATAACAAAGTGAGAGTAAGGTGGCTGTGTTACCTCCTAGTTGCAAGGTTATGGACATCAGGGACATCAGCTCAGGGCTGGGAGGGACTTACAGTGGGAGGAGCCAGGTCTGATGGAGCATGTAGGTATGAGCAACATAGGTAAGAAAAATGAGGTGTTGCTGCATAGCCAGTATGAAGAGCTGGCATTAAATTATACAAAACATCAAAGGTTGAAATCTATGGATTTTTACCAGAGTCACGTGCAAGTGGCAAATGGGTAAATCAGAGAGATTGATGCATAGTTCAAAGAATGGTGTGGGAGAAATGGATTCCAGTTTGTGGGGCTTTAGCAGCAATTCAGGAGTGTGGGGAATCTAAAACAATGACATGGTATCCACCTGGACCAGGCTGGAATCAGCATTCTCGTTAACCGCATAACAAGGGAAGTAGAGGAGATTTTAAATTGAATAGTGGGGGCAAGGGATCAAATTTAGAAAAACGTGGTAAATCAAATGACTAGAGTTAAGACCAAAGATTGATATTAAATATAGGAAATGTAAACAGATCTTGGCAGGAAGGGATAGACTGCATGAATCAATCAATAGATAAAACTAACATTTTAAAAAAAAAATAGTAAAAAAGGGATAAAACTAAAGGCTCTGCATCTGAATGCATGCAGCATTCATAGAACACAGAACAATAGAGCACAGGAATGGACCTTTTGACCCAAGATGGTGCGCCAAACATGATGCCAAATTAAACTAATCCCTTCTGCTTGTGATTGGTCCATATCCCTCCGTTCTTTGAATATTCATCACTTATCAAAAAGTCCCTTAAATGCCCCTATCATATCTGCCTCCACCACCAAACCTGGCAGTATGTTCCAGACTCTTACCACACTGTCAAAAACATGCCCCTCATGTCTCCTTTGACCTTTCCCCCCTCACCTTAAAATGCATGCCCCTGAGTATTAGACATTTCAATTCTGGAACAAACATTTTGACTGTGAACCATATCTATGCATCTCATTATTTTATAGACTTCTATCAAATTTTCCGTCAGCCTCTGCTGCTCAAGGGAAAACAATCCCGGTTTTTCTAACTTAAGCTTGTAGCTCATACCCTATAATCCAGCCAGCATCCTGTAAACCTCTTCTGCACCCTCTCCAAAGCCTCCACATTCTTCCTGTAATACTCAAAGTGAGGCCTAACCAATGTCTTACAAAGCTGCAACATGACATTCTGGTTCTTGTACTCAATTCCCCAACCAATAAAGACAAGCATGCCATATGCCTTCTTTACAACCCTATCTACTTGCATTCAAAATAAAACGAATGAACTGAATGCAAATAGAAATAAATATGCACGATTTGATGGCCATTAGAGACATGGCTGCCATGAATATTGAACAGTACAGGGCATTTAGGCATGACGGGAAAGTAGGATAAGGTGGAAGCTGTGTTCGTACAATCCCGACTGTGCAGAACATTTGGCCCAACAAGTCCACACCGACTCTCCAAACAGCATCCCACCCAGACCCTTACCCTATCCCTGCAACCCTGCATTTCTCCTGGCTAATCCAACTAATTTACATATCCCTGAACACTGCGGGCAATTTAGCATGGCCAATCCACCTAACTTGCATATCTTTGGACTGTGGGGGGAAACCCACCCAGACACGGGGAGAATGTGCAAACTCCACAAGAGTTGTCCAAGGCTGGAACTGAACTCAGGTCCCTGGCACTGTGAGGCAGCAGTGCTAATCACTATGCCACCGTGCTGCCCTAATGACGATAGCAGTGACCCAAGTTCAGGAAATCAAGGTGAGTAAATAGTTTGGGTAGAAATTATAAAGGCAAGAAGTCACTTTTGGGTGTGGTGTACAGGCCGCACAATAGGGTAAACCATAAAGGAATAAAATTAAATTTGTCAGAAAGGAAAAGAAACTGGAGAGATTTTCATCTACATATTAATCAGAAAAGACAGATAGACAAAGGTGGCCAAGATGAGGAGTTCATGCAATGCTTTAAGGGTAATTTCTGAGAAAAGCACATGTTGGAACTGTCCAGACAGCAGCCTATCCCAGGCCTGCTATTGTGCAGTGCGACAGGATTAGTGAGTTGTTTCAGCGGCGGGAGTCCGGGAGGAAGCGCGAGGGCAGCCTGGGAAGGTGAGCTTTTCGATTATAAAAGTCTTACCTCGCGTGACTCCATTTTTGGAGTAAGTGAGGTAATATATTTGGGCGGTTGCTTTACCTGAAACACTACCTAGGTAGTGTCTCCCACCCATCCTCCTCCTCTAACCAAAAAAAAAGGTTCTGAGCGCTGATTTGGTAAGGCTACTAGTATATATATTTTTTAATTTGTCTGTTTGGGAATTCAGAACAGTGGGAATGGATGTTAGGGCAGTTGTATGCTCCTCCTGTAGAATGTGGGAGGTAAGGGTCACCACTAGTGTCCCCACTGACTTCATCTGCGGGAAGTGCACCCAACTCCAGCTCCTCGGAAACCGTGTTAGGGAACTGGAGCTGGAGGAACTTCGGATCATTCGGGAGGCTGAGGCGGTAATTGAGAGGAGTTATGGGGAGGTAGTCACACCTCAGGTACAGGCAAAAAGTAGATGGGTTACAGTCAGGGGACGGAAAGGGAACAGGCAGACAGTGCAGGGATCCCCTGTGGCCATTCCCCTCAAAAACAAGTATACCGTTTTGGATACTGTTGGGGGGGATGACTTACCAGGGGTAAGCCATGGGGTACAGGTCTCTGGCACAGAGTCTGTCCCTGTTGCTCAGAAGGGAAGGGGGGAGAGGAGGAGAGCATTAGTCATTGGGGACTCCATAGTTAGGGGGACAGATAGGAGATTCTGTGGGAACGAGAGAGACTCGCGGTTGGTGTGTTGCCTCCCAGGTGCCAGGGTCCGTGATGTCTCGGATCGTGTTTTCGGGATCCTTAAGGGGGAAGGGGAGCAGCCCCAAGTCGTGGTCCACATAGGCACCAACGATATAGGTAGGAAAAGGGATGGGGACGCAAGGCAGGAATTCAAGGAGCTAGGGTGGAAGCTTAGAGCTAGAACAAACAGAGTTGTTATCTCTGGTTTGTTACCCGTGCCACGTGCTAGCGAGGCGAGGAATAGGGAGAGAGAGCAGTTGAACACGTGGCTACAGGGATGGTGCAGGAGGGAGGGATTCAGATACCTGGATAATTGGGGCTCATTCTGGGGTAGGTGGGACCTCTACAAACGGGGTGGTCTACACCTGAACCAGAGGGGTACCAATATCCTGGGGGGGAAATTTGCTAATGCTCTTCGGGAGGGTTTAAACTAATTCAACAGTGGGGTGGGAACCTGAATTGTAGCTCCAGTGTACAGGAGGTTGAGAGGAGTGAGGTCATAAATAAGGTTTCAAGGTCGCAGGAGTGTACCGGCAGGCAGGAAGGTGGTTTGAAGTGTGTCTACTTCAATGCCAGGAGCATCCGGAATAAGGTGGGTGAACTTGCAGCATGGGTTGGTACCTGGGACTTCGATGTTGTGGCCATTTCGGAGACATGGATAGAGCAGGGACAGGAATGGTTGTTGCAGGTTCCGGGGTTTAGATGTTTCAGTAAGATCAGGGAAGGTGGTAAAAGAGGGGGAGGTGTGGCATTGTTAGTCAAGGACAGTATTACGGTGGCAGAAAGGACGTTTGATGACAACTCGTCTACTGAGGTAAGAACCAGGAAAGGAGAGGTCACCCTGTTGGGAGTTTTCTATAGGCCTCCGAAAAGTTCCAGAGATGTCGAGGAAAAGATTGCAAAGATGATTCTGGATAGCAGCGAAAGTAACAGGGTAGTTGTTATGGTGGACTTCAACTTTCCAAATATTGACTGGAAACGCTATAGTTCGAGTACTTCAGATGGGTCAGTTTTTGTCCAATGTGTGCAGGAGGGTTTCCTGACACAGTATGCAGATAGGCCAACAAGAGGCGAGGCCACATTGGATTTGGTACTGGGTAATGAACCAGGCCAGGTGTTAGATTTGGAGGTAGGAGAGCACTTTGGTGATAGTGACCACAATTCGGTTACGTTTACTTTAGCGATGGAAAGGGATCGGTATATAAAGCAGGGCAAGAGTTATAGCTGGGGGAAAGGCAACTATGAGGCGATGAGGCAAGATTTAGGATGCATAGGATGGAGAAGGAAACTGCAGGGGCTGGGCAGAATTGAAATGTGGAGCTCGTTCAAGGAACAGCTACTGCGTGTCCTTGAGAAGTATGTACCTGTCAGGCAGGGAGGAAGTGGTCGAGCGAGGGAACCGTGGTTTACTAAAGAAATTGAATTTCTTGTCAAGAGAAAGAAGGAGGCTTATGTAGAGATGAGGCGTGAAGGCTCAGTGAGGGCACTTGAGAGTTACAAGTTAGCCAGGAAGGACCTAAAGAGAGAGCTAAGAAGAGCCAGGAGGGGACATGAGAAGTCTTTAGCAGGTAGGATCAAGGAAAACCCTAAAGCTTTCTATAGGTATGTCAGGAATAAAAGAATGACTAGAGTAAGATTGGGGCCGGTCAAGGACAGTAGTGGGAAGTTGTGCGTGGAGTCCGAAGAGATAGGAGAGGTGCTAAATAAATATTTTTCGTCAGTATTCACACAGGAAAAAGACAATGCAGTCGAGGAGAATACTGAGATACAGTCTATTAGACTAGACGGGATTGAGGTTCATAAGGAGGTGGTGTTAGCAATTCTGGAAGGTGTGAAAATAGATAAGTCCCCTGGGCCGGATGGGATTTATCCTAGGATTCTCTGGGAAGCTAGAGAGGAGATTGCAGAGCCTTTGGCTTTGATCTTTATGTTGTCATTGTCTTCAGGAATAGTGCCAGAAGACTGGAGACTAGCAAATGTTGTCCCCTTGTTCAAGAAGGGGAGTAGAGACAACCCTGGTAATTATAGACCAGTGAGCCTTACTTCGGTTGTGGGTAAAGTGTTGGAAAGGATTATAAGAGATAGGATTTATAATCATTTAGAAAGGAATAATTTGATTAGGGATAGTCAACACGGTTTTGTGAAGGGTAGGTCGTGCCTCACAAACCTTGTTGAGTTCTTCGAGAAGGTGACCAAACAGGTGGATGAGGGTAAAGCGGTTGATGTGGTGTATTTGGATTTCAGTAAAGCGTTTGATAAGGTTCCCCATGGTAGGCTATTGCAGAAAATACGGAGGCATGGGATTGAGGGTGATTTAGCGGTTTGGATCAGAAATTGGCTAGCTGTAAGAAGACAGAGGGTGGTGGTTGATGGGAAATGTTCATCCTGGAGTTCAGTTACTAGTGGTGTACCTCAAGGATCTGTTTTGGGGCCACTGCTGTTTGTCATTTTTATAAATGACCTGGATGAGGGCGTAGAAGGATGGGTTAGTAAATTTGCGGATGACACCAAAGTCGGTGGAGTTGTGGATAGTGCAGAAGGATGTTGTAGGTTACAGAGGGACATAGATAAGCTGCAGAGCTGGGCTGAGAGGTGGCAAATGGAGTTTAATGCGGAAAAGTGTGAGGTGATTCACTTTGGAAGGAGTAACAGGAATACAGAGTACTGGGCTAATGGTAAGATTCTTGGTAGTGTGGATGAGCAGAAAGATCTCGGTGTCCATGTGCATAGATCACTGAAAGTTGCCACCCAGGTTGATAGCGTTGTTAAGAAGGCGTACAGTATGTTAGGTTTTATTGGTAGAGGGATTGAGTTTCGGAGCCATGAGGTCATGTTGCAGCTGTACAAAACTCTGGTGCGGCCGCACTTGGAGTATTGCGTACAGTTCTGGTCACCGCATTATAGGAAGGATGTGGAAGCATTGGAAAGCGTGCAGAAGAGGTTTACCAGGATGCTGCCTGGATTAGAGGGTATGAGTTGTAAGGATAGGCTAAAAAAAAAAACACTTGGGTTTTCTCTTCAGCAGCAGAGGTGGAGGGGAGACTTGATAGAAGTCTATAAAATTATGAGACACGTAGATAGGGTTGATAGCCAGAATCTTTGTCCCCACAGTTGAAATGTCTAATACTAGGGGGCATGTATTTAAGGTGAGAGGGGGAAGTTGAAAAGAGAAGTAAAAGGGCAAGTTTTTTTTTTTTTAAAAAACACTGGTAGTTGAGGCAGATACAAAAAGGGCATTTAAGGGACTTTTAGATAAGCAAGGAATGGAGGATTATGGACCAAGGGGAAGAAAGAAGGAATCAATCTCATTTGGCATCATGGTCGGTACAACATCGTGGGCTGAAGGACCCATTCCTGTGCTTTACTGTTCAATGTTCTATGAAAGGCTGGACAGGTTAGGCTTGTATCTGGTGGAGTTTAGAAGAGTAAGAGGCTATTTGATTGAAACACAAATGAAGAGGAGGCTTGACAGGGTGGGAGTGGAGATATTTCCTCTTACAGGAGAATCTAGAACCAGGGGGTCATTGTTTAGAAATCAGTGATCACCCACTTAAAACAAATTAGAGAAATTTCTTTCCTCTCAGAGTGCCATGAATCTTTGGAACTCTTCCCGAAAAGGTGCTGGAAGTACAGTCTTGAATATTTTTAAAGAAGAGGTAGATAGATTCTTGTTAAGCAAGGGAATGAAACATTGATCAGATGGGCCAATGAGCCGAGGAGTGGCAGACGGAGTTTAATTTAGATAAATGTGAGGCATTGCATTTTGGAAAGGCAAATCGGGACAGCACTTATACACTTAATCATAAGATCCTGGGGAGTGTTGCTGAACAAAGAGATCTTGGGGGGCAGGTTCACAGTTCACTGAAAGTGGAGTCGCAGGTAGACAGGATAGTGAAGATGGGGTTTGGTATGCTTGCCTTTATTGGTCAGTGCATTGAGTATAGGAGTTGGGAAGTCATGTTGTAGCTGGTTTGACCACTTTTGGAGTACTGCATGCAATTCTGGTCTCTCTCCTAGAGGAAGGATATTGTGAAACTAAAAAGGATTCAGAAAAGACTTGAGGATGTTGCCAGGGTCGGAGGATTTGAGCTATAGGGAGAGGCTGAATAGGCTGGGACTGTTTTCCCTGGAGTGTCAGTGGCTGAGGGGGTGACCTTAGAGGTTTATAAAATCATGAGGGGCACTACTTTAAGTGTGGAAGAAAGTGCTGCTTACCCATTGCCTTGCCTGGCCAGATGATAAACTATAGTAGCAGAAGTGACAGTTTTCCCAGTGCCTGGAGGGCCTTGGATCAGACTGAGAGGACGCTGGAGGACAGTCTTCACAGCATAAACCTGTTGGAAAGATTGAAACCTCACCTTATCAATCATGGACGGCAATGTTATAATGGTTTTAATTATGCCATGCACTTCATTGTAGCGTAACCAACAATTGCACTTCTACTTTCAGTACTTCTGTTGACAGAAGTAAAACTTCAAAGCTTTTGGAATCTAAGCAGTTTGAAGCAATTTCGATATTGCTTACAGAGTATTTATATCTAATAATATTTCCCATTTCTCCAAGTAGTATAACTGAAGCTGGAGAAACAAAATGTTTACATATGACTAAATGTGCTAAAGATATTCATAAACACTGCATAAACTGATTTGAAATACATTACCGCTAGGAATATGTTGCAGTGCAAAACAACTCACCCACCACAGTGCAGTTAGTGTACTGGAGCAGCGCACGTGTCAGATTTTAGCACACAGAACAATCAACAGATTAAAGTCTGTAATGTGAAGTAGTCTGGAAAACTACTGTATCCGTATTGTCCCATCAGCACAACATTTTGGCCATACAACTGCAATGTCCATGAAAAAGTCAGTTCTTTTTTTAAACACAGCCGTTTCAATGCTGACAGATCTGAATTGGCGTGCAGATTTATTAATCCCAGGCAATGTAACAATTTGCTGCAGTACTATTGATTACAGCAGTTTTCTGTGGTGAAAGTATGAAATAACATGCCATTGCTGCCTTCAGAGGTGAAAGGGCCCAAACTGAGGCAGGGGCAACAATACCAGAAGCACAGGCTGCCACCTCGTGGTTCAAGACACTAACAATGCAGTTTCTCTTGAATGTCTCATTTTTGCTTCCTGTTTTGATCCAGGCAGAGGCTGCAGCAACAGGCAACTAACATTACAATTCGGGTAAAATTTGCTGCTTCCCTTGTTTTTAGATCTGCTTTGCATTTAAAAGGACGTTGCTCATATAGTACTGAGTGTGTTCAAAATACAGCAGAGCAGGTTACAAGAGAGAGTGATTAAAATGAGCACCTGGGATCTTATGTCTCATAGCTCTATGCTTGACTGTATATATAGTGTAACTTACTGAGGATTAGGTTTACTTGCACGGCCTGCACCAACTACAATTGAAAGCCAACAGGCTGGATTTGATAAAAGCATTGAAGACAGCATTGACAGAATATGTACAGTTGCTGCTTACTTGAGGATAAGGTCACTGGTGAAAATCAGACGCAATGTTAACACATTATGTCACTCAAAATTGCCTACCTGTGAGTGATTAAGGTCAGGTAAACCATGGGCAGTGAAGCGTTTGGGCAGCTGGCATTTAATAATCACATCCTCCACCTCATGGCCAAGCAGTTTGTGGTATATGTAGCCAGACACAGAAGTCTCATCCACAGCAAAGGTTTTTAAAGCACTCTGCATTCTGGAAGTTGAAAAAAGGAACTTCTTGTTAACATATCAGAATGGGTCACAATAAAAATGTGCATCGCAGTGAGGAGCGGAGCAACCATGTCAATATCATGTTGGTCAAGTCTCAGGGAACTACCTTGGTTACATCAGCCCACGCACACCCAACCATAAAGCTGTTATTTGCCACTAATAAAGAGAGAACTGATGGTGATATGCCAACAAGTATTTATTGTATTTCTTCCAGTTTCACGTTAGTCCCTCATTAACATTCACTCGGTGCACAGAAACCAGTAGAACAGTCATTGTATGCATGTAGTCCTGCTCCTGATGCTTTAAAGTTGAACCCCTAATTTGTGCTGAATTAGCCGATCTTGGTTTGGACAGCAATGCTGCTGAGAGTTGCCTCAGTACATAAGGTGGAGATAAGAAACACAGTTAGGATTTCTGCTCCTGCAAAAAGATCCTAATCAGATAGACTAGGATAAGCTTTTATTTGTTGTCAATAGTTCCTTGAAAGTGGAGTTGCAGGCAGACAGGAGAGTGAAGGCAGCATTTGGTATGCTTGCCTTTATTGGTCAGTGCATTGAGTATAGGAGTTGGGAGGTCATGCTGCAGCTGTACAGGACATTGGTTAGGCCACTTTTGGAATACTGCATTAAATTCTGGTTTCCCTGCAATAGGAAGGATGTAGTGAAACTAGAAAGGGTTCAGAAAAGATTTAGAAGAATGTCGCCAGGGTTGGAGGGTTTGAGCTATAGGGGTAGGCTGAATAGGCTGGGACTACGTTCCCTGGAGCACAGGCCAAGGAATGGCCTTATAGAAGCTTTAAAATCATGAGGGGCATGGATAGGGTGTAGAGCCAAGGACTTCCCCCCAGGGTAGAGGAATCTAAAACTGGAGAGCATAGGTTTAAGGTGAGCTGAGCAATATTTAAAAGGGACCTGGGGCAACGCGTATATGGAATGAACTGCCAGAGGAAGTGGTGGAGGCTGGTACAATTGCAACATTTAAAAGGCATCTGGATGAGTACATGAATACAAAGAGTTTAGAAGGGTATGGGCCAAATGCTGGCAAACGGGACTATACTAATTTTAGGGTATCTGGTCAGCATGGATGAGTCAGACCAAATGGTCTGTTTCTGTGCTGTATGACTCTATAACCCAGATGGACAAAAGACATTCATGCCATTTCTAAGAGTGAAAATGCTCTATATCTAAAATGCCTATAAGAATCTGCCTGATTCAGACGCAAGAGTTCTACAGTCAAGCAACAATCAGGTAGGCTCTTGGTTCACAAGCAAATCATTGTAGACCCTGTGGAAACACCACACAATGCTTCAGAGATAACGTCAAAGTGATACAGAACTGTTCTGAGAAAAAAAAAAGTGTCATTCCCTAGCTTCTTGGTGCATTTTCGACTTTTCTGCACATATCACTTTTGCAAAACTTCAATCATTAGTTTTTGCCTGAAAATAAAAAGTCTGTTTTTCCAAAAGTAAAAGATGAATGGCCACCTACATGCTTGCCAGTGCCTAACATCTTTGAACCATGTTCATTTTCAATACGTTTTGAAATTTCTTCAATAACAGTTCTTCAACAACAGTAAACATTTTTGAATGCAATTTGTTGTTGGAAGGAGGCAAGAGGAGAAGGCATTCTAGTGAATTTCCATTTATACCAGATGAATTGCTCAGGTCACAGAAATACTAAAATGAGGGTAAGCATCTGAAAGGGAGGATATTTTCCACAAACAATGGAAAAATAAAGACTGGGATGGCTAACAGATATTGTTTAAATTCTGTGAAGATGGAAAATCTTAGGGTTTACTATGTATACATTTTCCTGCAACTGGAATAAACAAACAAGGTGTTCAAATGGCAGCTGAACTAACAGATTCTGATACCAAGTGTGGATCCAGTATGTAGTTCAGTTAAGCCATGTCAGAGGATAACTGCTGCTTATTCCCTAGATTGTTCCACTTTTGTTCACTTTGTCTAGCAGTTTCAAATTTATTGTACACTCAAAATGTTACATTTGTGCAACAAGAGACATTTTGCACAAAACATCAGAAGCACTGACATTACATTCAGTTCCTGCAATCATTAGCACCTGAATACTTGAGAATTACTCCTAGAACATAGAACATTACAGCGCAGTACAGGCCCTTCGGCCCTCGATGTTGCGCCAACCTGTGAAACCAATCTGAAGCCCAACTAACCTACACTATTCCATTCTCATCCATATATGTTTATCCAATGGCCATTTGAATGCCCTTAAAGTTGGCGAGTCTACTACTGTTGCAGGCAGGGCATTCCACGCCCTTACTACTCTCCGAGTAAAGAACCTACCTCTGCCATCTGTCCTATATCTATCACCCCTCAATTTAAAGCTATGTCCCCTCGTGCTAGCCATCACCATCCGAGGAAAAAGGCTCCCACTGTCCACCCTATCTAATCCTCTGATCATCTTGTATGTCTCCATTAAGTCACCTCTTAACCTTCCTCTCTCTAACGAAAACAGCTTCAAGTCCCTCAGCCTTTCCTCAGAAGACCTTCCCTCCATACCAGGCAACATCCTGGTAAATCTCCTCTGCACCCTTTCCAATGCTTCCACATCCTATAATGCGGTGACCAGAACTGTACGCAATACTCCAAGTGCGGCCGCGCCAGAGTTTTGTACAGCTGCAACATGACTTCATGGCCCCAAAACTCAATCCCTCTACCAATAAAACACTAACACACCGTACGCCTTCTTAACAACCCTATCAACCTGGGTGGCAACTTTCAGGGATCGATGCACATGGACACCGAGATCTCTCTGCTCATCCACACTACCAAGAATCTTACCATTAGCCCAGTACTCTGTATTCCTGTTACTCCTTCCAAAGTGAATCACCTCACTTTTCCGCATTAAACTCCATTTGCCACCTCTCAGCCCAGCTCAGCAGCTTATCTACGTCCCTCTGTAACCTGCAACATCCTTCCGCACTGTCAACAACTCCACCGACTTTGGTGTCATCCGCAAATTTACTAACCCATCCTTCTACGCCCTCATCCAGGTCATTTATAAAAATGACAAACAGCAGTGGCCCCAAAACAGATCCTTGAGGTACACCACTAGTAACCGAACTCCAGGATGAACATTTCCCATCAACCACCACCCTCTGTCTTCTTACAGCTAGCCAATTCCTGATCCAGACCGCTAAATCACCCTCAATCCCATGCCTCCGTATTTTCTGCAATAGCCTACCGTGGGAACGTTATCAAACGTTTTACTGAAATCCAGATACACCACATCAACCGCTTTACCCTCATGCACCTGTTGGTCACCTTCTCAAAAGAACTCTAAGGTTTGTGAGGCACGACCTACCCTTCACAAAACCGTGTTGACTAAGCCTAATCAAATTATTCTTTTCTAGATGATTATAAATTCTCTTATAATCCTTTGGCAACACTTTACCCACAACCAAAGTAAGGCTCATTGGTCTATTTGTACTTCTTTTGAAAATTAGGACACTGGAGTGCTTAAATAAAAAAATAGGAAGTTTGCAGGCCTACAAAGAGGAACATTAGATCAATTTGTAGCTCACAAACAAGCAGGATAGGTCAAATAGCCTCCTCTTATGCTGCAGAATAGGTGAGACAATGTTAACATGCACACAAACGAAGCTACTACTACATGCACAGAGCTCTTATACCCATAGCTCAGATATCTACTATTGAACTCCACATCCAGCATCCCTTTTAAGTGGGTAATAGTTATACCTGCAACATTTAATTTTAATGCATGTTAAAAATAGCCAAATCCCTTTCTAGAAACCAGGCTCATGATGAGAAATTATTGCATCAACTAACATTACAATGTACTGGATTGCTGGGAATGTGAAATGGAATTGTTGGATTGATCAAAACATGTACCGACCTGCATTTCCCAACTGGGAACTTTTTTTTTTTTTTAGAAAGAAAAGAGAGGATGGGACCTGGCACCGTCAACACTGCCTACATTATTTAGACAGAAAATAAAAGGCTGATAAAGCTACAAATTAAAAAGGGCAAAGTTGGACAAATTAGTAGCTTACCTGTCAAATGAAGTTGATTTCCACACAAAATCCACCTGGAAGTTGTGAGTTACTTCAACTGGAGCTCCAACACTACTGCGTAGTTCAATAGCGATCTCATCCCCATAATCTACATGGGTCAGTTAGAGACACAACGCTTAGCCTGACTGAGTCAGGCTCTACAATTACACAAACTACAGCTGACCTCAAACACTCTAGAATTATCTAAATCATGTCTAAAACAAATATATATTGCACCTAAAACTGTCACAGCAGCTCAGAGAACTAGCTGTACTCAAGCTGCATTTTCAGCTTTGTCTTGTGTTAAGTTAAAGAAAGACTTGTAAATTTAAATATATTTAGAAAGAGGGTCATCTCTCATCTCTACATCCCTCAAACCTGTTCTAAAAGATAGTCAGGCCTGTCCTTCAATCTGGGATGATACAATGACGGCAAAGGAAATTAAGAAGCTACGCTATAAACTGGTTAAATGCAACATGGAATATATTGATAAATCAATGGACTAGAGAAGTGAGTAAAACTAAATGAGGACAAATGCAGTAATATTTCCCCAAGGAAAAAGCAACAACTTGATACTGTACGAGGAGAGCAATAGGGAGAAGAAACAATGAAGGCCCAAGAAATGGTACCTCAAGGTGCTGAGAATCAGCGCATGCCAAAGGACTGGAAGGTGACCAAACATCTGTTTTTAAAAGGGAACGCGTTACCTTTGGTAAACAATATTATGTTGAGAGACTGGAAAATTGAGATTACTATCGTGGAGCAAAGAAAGTTAAGGGGCGACCTAATATGTGCCAGAAATACAAAGGGTGTTGGGAAATTAAACAAGGTGGTGTTCTTACTGGCAGGAAGGTCTGTAATCAAGCAGCACAGATTTAAGAAAACTGGCAACACAAACCATGGAGGAAATCCCACCACCAGTGTTACAATTTGGGCAGTGCAGCCTTGAAGGGCAGTGGAAGCAGATTCAATTGTGTCTTTCAAGTGAAAATTGAGTAACTACTTGAGACAAGGAAAAATATTGCAAGCTTAAGGGGAAAGAACAAAGGAATTATTCAGAAGAACAGGCTAAAAATGTACCAGACACCATCAGCACCATTCCTGGATATGTCCTGTCCCCCTGGCAGGACAGACTCAGCAGAGGTGGTGACACAGTGGTTTACACAGGGAGGAAGTCGCCCTGAGAAAGTCCTCAACGTTCATTCTGGACAAACAGCATGTGGTAGACAGTTAGATGATCCAACAACAAACAGATCTAAGCTCTGCAGTCCTGCCACATCCAGTCGTGAATGGTAGTGGACAATTAAACAACTCACTGGAGGAGCAGGCTCCACAAATATCCCTATCCTCAATGATGGAAGAGCCCAGTACATCAGTGCAAAAAGATAAGGCTGAATAATTCATAGCAATCTTCAACTAGAAGTGCCAAGTGGATGATCCATCTCTGTCTCCTCCAGTGGCCCCCAGCATTACAGATACCACCCTCAGCTAATTCGACTCACTCCATGTGATATCAAGAAATGTTGGAGACACTGAATACTGCAAAGGCTACGGACTCAGACAACATTTCAGCAATAGTACTGAGGACTTGAGCTTCAGGTCTTGCCACTCCCCTCATCAAGCTCATCAAGTATAGTTACAACCTGGCACCTACCCAACAATGTGGAAAATTGCCCAAATATCTCTTGTACAAAAAAGCAGGCCAAATCTAACCTGGCCAATTAGAGCCCCAGTCTACTCTCAATCATCAGTAAAATGATGGAAGGTGCAATCAACACTGCTATCAAACAGCACCTGCTCAATGATAACAAGGTGTAGAGCTGGATGAACACAGCAGGCCAAGCAGCATCAGAGGAGCAGGAAGGCTGACGTTTTGGGCCTGGACCGTTCTTCAGAAAAATTTTCCTGCTGTGTTCATCCAGCTCTACACCTTGTTATCTCAGATTCTCCAGCATCTGCAGTTCCTACTATCCCTGCTCAATGATGCCCAGTTTGAGTTCCACCAAGGATACAACTGCTGATCTCTTACAGCCTTGGTTCAAACATGGACAAGAGTTGAATTCTAGAAGTGAGGTGGGAGTGACAGCCCTTGACATCGAGGCTGCATTTGACAGTGTGGAATAAACGAGTCCTAGCAAAACTGGGGAGCCCTGGGGCTAAACTCTCACTTGTTGGAGTTACACGTGGCACACAGGAAGAGGACTGGGGTTCACAGATTATAGAATCATAGATCATAGAATCCCCACAGTGTGGAAACAGGCCCTTCGACCCAACAAGTCCACACTGACCCTGAGCAGCCTACCCAGACCCACCCCCCTATAACCCACCTAGTCTACACATCTCTGAACACTCGGCAATTTAGCATGGCCAATCCACCTAGTCTGCACATCTTTGGACTAACAGAGAGAATGTGTAAACTCCACGCAGTCGCCCGAGGGTGGGATTGAACGCGGGTTCCTGGTGCTGTGAGGCAGCAGTGCTAACCACTGAGCCACCTTGCCGCCCCATAAAGTTGGTGAAGGTCAGTCATCTCAGCTCCAGGACATCTCTGCAGGATTTCTTCAGAGTTGTGTCCTAGGCCCAACCACCTTCAGTTGCTTCAATCTTCCCTTCATCATAAGACCAGAAGTAGGGATGCTCATCGATGATTGCACAACGTTTGTGACTCCTCAGATATTGAAATAATCCATGTTCAAATACAACAAGATCTGGACAATATACAGGCTTGAGTTGACAAGTGGCAAGTAACATTCTCAATACAACTGCCAGACAATGACCATCTCCAGTAACAAACAAACAAACCACTACTCTGTGGTGTTACCATCATTGAATACCCGCGCCCGCGCGCCCCCCCCCCCCCCCCAATAAAAACACCCTTGGGGCTATCATTGACCTATCAATTCAACTGGACTCACTGTATTATTGCAGTGGCTACAAGAGGAGGTCAGAGACTAGGAATACTAGGCTGAGTAACTCAACTGACTCCCAAAACCTCTCCTCCAATTATAAGGCACAAGTCAGGAATGTGATGGAATACTTCCCACCTGCCTGGATAGGTGCAACCCCAACACCACGCAGGAACCTCTACACCATCCAGGACAAAGCAGCCTGCTTGATTGGCACTACATCAACAAAAAAAAAACAAAAAAAATCCCTCCACTACTGACATCAGTAGTAGCAGCAGCAGTGTGTGCTATATTTAAGATACAATGCAGAAAATTATCAAGGATCCTCAGAAGAAAACCTATAACCATCTCAAAGGACAATGGCAGATAAATGGGAGCATTGCCACCTGCAAGTTCCCTGCCAAGCCATTCATCATCTTGACCTGGAAACATATTGTTGTTCTTACATGGTCACTGGATTAAAATCCTGGAATTCCCTCCGTAAGGGTATTATGGGTCAAATGACAGCATGTGGATTGCGGCGGTTCAAGGAGGAAGCTCACCATCTCCTTCCCAAAGGCAACTGGGAAGCACAATAAATGCTGGCCAGCCTACGGCACCCATGTACCATGAGTGAATGAAAAAGAATAGGTTAGAAAGGAGAAGAGTAAGTTGAGGCACAGTCCTTAAGGCTATCAAGAGTGGTCCTTGGTCCCCTAAGGATTCTGTTCTGGGACTACTTTAGTGCTCTGTTTACATCTGTGATTCTGACACAGGGCCAGGAGTGGGCCAATTTGCAAACAATATTAAAATTATGTTATACTGAATTTTAAAAAAATTATCGAAGGAAACTGAAGGAGAATATTGATGAAATGGGCGAGAAAGCAGATGACATGCAATGTCAGTCAAGTATGGTTTGAAAAAGAGGCATGTTGCCAAATCTATTCATCTTATACTCATCAGGACAGACGCAAGAATACCAAGAGGATAACAAATTTTATATCACGAGAAGAGGGTGCTTATTAAGTGAACTCTGACCGGTCAGTGCCTTGTCATGGGGCATGCACAAGGGAAGTTACCACTTCAAGCTTGCATTTTATATTTAAAAAAGGCAGGGTGACTGTTATTGACTAAGGAATAACTTCCCCTGAAATGTGGTATTTCTGTGTCAGTCTTGACATGTATCAGGCAAAATCTTTGATAAAATGGAGAGAAAAAGACTATGTCCAATGCTTCAGAGGGACAGCCGTATTGAAACTAAACCTATGAACTATGGGATTTTATTTTAAAGATCAGAGTTGTTGAGTTACTAACTGAAATTGAGACCATGTTAGCATATAAGAACAGGTTAGATGCACCGAACTAACAAAGGGTACAACGCCATTTGGGAACAAGGATTCACCAAAGCGCTCACAAAGCTGATAAACACCAACACAACATGGTTGGTTTGGGTTCATTTTCAGTGTGCAATTCCAATGTTAGAATGATCTAGGGTGGGAACTCATACCAATTACTAAATATCACCGATCACCTCATGCATGCAAAATTTGCAGATGGCAACGTTGAGCACTGATGATTGACATTCAAAGCAAGTAAAGAACGTACATTTTTAAGAGCTTTCTATAACCTAAAGCATTCAAATGACCTTTTCAAAAAAGGGAAATAATGCAGGCTATTTATGCAAAGAGGTCCCTAAAATAGCATTATTATAAATAAACAAATAAGCTGCTTTAATCATAATGGTTTTATTCAGGAGACTTTTGAGAGGTAGGGGAAAATTCCATATCCCCATTCTCCAGAAAATCTTTGATACATAACATGGTTATTCAGTCAATGATGTCTGTACTGGCTCTTTGAAAGTCATCTAATCATTCCCTGCTAAAAACTCTACAAACTGTCTTTTATCAAATTTGCCAATGCCTTTAATGTTTATGAACTTGTATATGTCAAATTCCTTTTCTAAACTGAATCTGCTTCCACCACCATAGAGTTTTTGTGCCCATGAGAAGTAACAGGGCCTCTGCCTAACATCACACGCAGAAGAAAACATTTAAGAGTGCAACATTTGCACAGTAAGGTGCGCACAGCAAAAGCCAGCCTTATCATTTATATAAAAACACTGCAAGCTCTTCAGCTGTACAACTGCGATTTGTTTAATTAGCAAGATACAAAGGATACTGTCCGGGACTTTGATCACGTGGCCGATTCCTTTCCAAAGAGGTGCCAGGTCACCCTTGTAGCGCAGACAGATCTCATCACCCTGCATCAGGCGCATGTCTGAAGAACAAGAATAAGAATAGCCAAATGACGACCACAGTATACAGCACAATAATAGATTTTCAATCTGGCCATAATCTATTCACATGCTGCTCCAAATCAGAGCTAATCAACTCACCATTCTGGTCTGCATGGCTCAATTAATAAATTAAGCTCAACACTAAAGACTTCACAATCAGAAATTAATCTGGGCAATTGATACAACTTTATGGTAAACAGTAGGTTTCAGGGCAGAATTACTTCTCTCCCGAAGTACTAAATGCGACACTTTTGAAGATACAGATCTGGCATCTGTTCATTTTATCCAGGGAGACTTTGGGAAAAGTGAACTTGCCTTTGAAAGTAATAGCGAATGACTACCCATATTGCAAACAATCATGCCGACAGTTCACATCAAGTGAGCGAGTATCTATAGTGTAGTGTCCACAGTGCTCACAGTACCCTGCTTACCACCTACTTTCTGGAATGTTTTTGTCAGATAATGAATGCATTCTTGGGTGCATCAAAAATGAGGTACTGTGACTAATTCTATAAATTCGAATTGTTCCTTTCCACTGTTCTCAGGCTGAGCTATTTACTGTCGGGCAGTGTCACTTTTAAAGTGATACAAAACATTAGGCTTTGTAGCTCTCTACTGTAAAAATCTGTTTATGCACAATGAAAAATCTTTCTACAATACATCAATATTACACACACGTCGTTTATTGAATCTGGTATTTTGTTTCTGTGTTCAAAGAGAATGACGACTGGATTGTGATATAGATTTACCAGCCAGCGTCACTTGATCTGTTGAGGCTTGCCAACTCCTGAAGTAAATAGCACGACACCTTGCATTCCTTTCTCACCATCTTCAATCATATCTGACATTGTTGTGCCAATGCACCAAACTGCACTTTTAACTTAAAGTAATGTAAACTGGTGCCATTTACCAGAGTCCGTCTTAGGCAAGGTGAAGTATGCAATCCTTTTCTTGTTCAGACCCAGATCCCATCTTACAGTGATATTGTCCTGAGTCTAAAATTATAAACACAATTAAACACATTTATTGGTTCAAGCAAGATAATTTAGCTGGATAACAAAACGGAAGAGGTAGTTAGATTATTCACTTGGCTGATAACGAAGAGACACTCCAATTATACTTAAATACAAAGAGAAAGCAACACTAACCCCTGCCTATGTGCTCTCTAATTTTCACACTATATTTTAAAAAATTTGTACACACAGCTAGGTGGTGACAGGCTGTAGAAGTCAGCTATTTCAGGATTCAAGGGACTATTGTAGGGTGGCGCAGTGGCTCAGTGGTTAGCACTGCTGCCTCACAGCGCCTGGGATCCGGTTCGATTCCACCGCCGGGTGACTGTCTGTGTGGAGTTTGCACATTCTTTGTGTCTGCGTGGTCTTCCTCTGGGTGCTCTGGTTTCCTCCCACAGTCCAAAGATGTGCAGGCTAGGTGGATTGGCCATGCTAAATTGCCTGTAGTGTTCTGGGATGTGTAGCTTAGGGGGATGGGTCTGGGTGGGATGCTCCGAGAGTCGGTGTGGACTTGTTGGACCAAAGAGCCTGGTTCCACACTGTAGTTATTGTTTTATAGAAACAGAATGGCATTGGGGTTGCAGGGAAACACATACAAGGGAAGACGATCCTGCCCTTCTCTGAGAGAAGTAATCACCATTCTATTTAAGTGAAAATTAAAATCACACAATGAATGTAGAACCAATTGTCTTGGTTTGAAAAAGGCAAGGTTAGATACATTGGAGAAGTCTTAGTATACCACAAGTTGTTGCTTCAATTTTGGTACCAGTACTGTTATAAGCAGCTCCGTATCATTATCACATCTGCACTGGTGAACCATAAGTATCCCCCTATATAGTAACACTAATGTAATGAAGTCTATTCAGGCCTCATTAAAAGTATACACCATCTGCACAAGCTCAAATTAAAGTGCATCAGAATTTTTGGGTTCTAGGAGCGCACTCACATAAGAGGGATGAAAACAATTCCTAGTTTGGAAATATGACTTAAAATATCACTGTCATTTATTTGAAACAATATGGTGAAAGGGCAAGATTATAGGAAAGAGAAGGAAGAGAAGTGGATATTCTAAGTGCTGGTAAGCTTATCAAATGGATATTGTTCCGTCTAATTACTAGCAAGTTACTCAGAAAACTGGTGAAGATAATGCAGTCCATCTGACTAGGGAGCAAAGGTGAATCCTAAAAGGAGTATAAAATTTGGGAAAACTGATAACCGCGTTGGTGAGCCACACCTGGAGTACTAAAGGGAGGCAATGGCCTAGTGCTATTATCGTTGGAATGTTAATCTAGAGACCCAGGTAATGTTTTGGAGACCAGAGTTCAAATCCTGACACAGAAGATAGTGGAATTTGAATTCAATTCAAAAAAGGAATTAAGAGTCTAATGATGACCGTGAATCTATTGCCAATTGTCAGAAAAACCCATCTAGTTCAATAATGTCCTTAAGGGAAGGAAACTGCCATCCTTACCTGGTCTGATCTACATGTGACTCTAGACCCACAGCAATGTGACTGATATTTAACTGCCCTCTGGACTATTATGGATGGGCAATAAGTGCTGGCCTAGTCAGTGTCACCCTCACCCTGTGAATGAATTAAAAAAAGCGCATACTTGGATTGAAAGCTGTTTGAGAGGCTTAACAAGGCTGATATCTGATGTGAAGAAGTTTGTCTTTTTGGAAAAAGTTGAGCAGGTCGGGCCTTTAATCATTTGGGTTTAGATGGAGAGGTGATCATATTGAAACAAAGATTCCAATGGAGTTTAAGAAGATTAATCCAGATAAGTTGAATACCCATAGTGGGAGGGAGACAGAAGAACATAAATGTAGACAAATTGGGCCAATCAAGTCTGCACCTTCCCTCCCAACAGCATCCCACCCAGACTCAGTCCCCCACCTCATTCCCGTAACCCTGCTTTTATCATGGCTAATCCACCTAGCCTGCACATTCCTAAACACTATGTACAATTTAGCATGGCCAATCCATCTAACCTGCATATCTTTGGATGGGGGGAGGAAACCAGAGAACCTGACAAAAACCCACGCAGACATGGGGAAACATGTAACCTCCACACAGTCACCCAAGGCTGGAATCAAACCTGGGTCCCTGGCACTGTGAGGCAGCAGTGCTAACCACAGCCACCATGCCACCCAGTAAGAGGGCATTAATAGCAGGAGACTTTAACTATCCTAATATCAACTGGGTTTCAAACAACATAAGGGGCAATGACAGTGAAAGATTCACGTACTGTGTCCAAGAATTTTTTTCTTTTTAAAAACAAGAGGAGCCACAATTCTAGCTTAGTTTTGGGAAATGAAGATGGGCAAGTGGGTCAAGTGACAGTGGACGACCATATCATAGATAGTAACCACAATTTGGTTAGATTTAGCATTTTTATGGAAAAGGACAAAGATAAATTAGGGGTAAAAGCTTTTAACTGGGGAAATGCAAATTTTACAAAACTGAAAAGTGATTTGAATGAGGTGGACTGAACAGAACTGTTAAAGGGTGAATCAGTGGTAAACCAGTGGGAGGCACTTAAAAAGTGAAATCCTTGAGGCAGAAAGCAGACATGTCCCTTCCAAAAATGAGAAGGATACTGCTAAATCTAGATTCCCATGGCCGTCGAGAAAAATACAGGGGATGATTAAACAGAAAAAAGGAAGCTTATGATAGTCACAAAAAACTCAACATTGCAGATAGCTTAGAGGAGCATTGAAAATACAGGGATCAAATTAAAAATAAAAGGAAATCAAAGAGATGGCATGAAAATAAAATTAACAAGCAAGATAAAAGAAAACCCAAAGATGTTTTTACCAGGAAATAAAGAGCAAAAGTATAGTTAAGGAAAAAGTAGGACCTATCAGAGATGAAGAAGGGATCTTGCGTGAAGATCCAGAGCTTATGGGAAGAATTTTAAATAAAGTTTTTGTCTTCACATTCACGAAGGAAAGGAATGATGTGGGTGTAGTAATCCAAGAGTAGCAGTATGAAATATTGGTCAAAATAATCACAATGAGAGGGGAAGTGCTAGGGGAGTTGGAATCCTTGAAAGCTGATAAGTCACCAGGGCGAGAGGGTTGTTCCCTAGGATGTCGAAGGAGGTCAGGGAGGAAACAACAGATGCTTCAAGGATTATTTTCCAATCTTCACTGGACACAGATGAGGTGCCAGAGGACTGGAGAAATGCAAATGTAGTTCCATTGTTTAAAAAGCGTATTAAAAGAAAATGCCAAACAATTGCAGGCCAGTTAGTCTTATTTCAGTGGTGGGCAAATTGTTCGAATCAATCCTGAGAGATTGGAATTAACTGTCACTTAGACAGGCATGGGCTAGTCAGGAATAGTCAGCATGACTTTGTAAAGGGGAGGTTATGACTTACAAATTTGACGGAATTCTTTGAGGAAGTGACCAGGAGGATTGATGAGGGTAGTACAATGGATGTTGTCTACACAGATTTTAGAAAGGTATTTGACAAGATCACACGTGGCAGACTGGTCAATGAAGTAAAGCCCAATGGTAATGTGTAGAATTGGATCCAATGTTGGCTTATTAACAGGAAACAAAGGGTAATGATTGATGGCTGCCCTTGCAAATAGAAAGCTGTTTCAAGTGGTGTTCTGCAAGGTTCAGTGTTCAGACCCTGTTTGTTTTATACATTAATAATTTGGACTCTAACATGGGGGGCACAATTGGGTAACTTGCAGATGACAAAAATTGACTGTGTAGTCTATAGAGAAGTGTGATCTTTTCTTAAAAATGCAAAGGGTGATGGGGTGTCTGGAATTCACTGCTTGAGATGGTGGTGGAAACACTGACCCTAAACTTTTTTTTTTTTTTTTTTTTTTTTTTTTTTTAAGAAGAGTACCTGGACCTGCACCTTGAATGCTGTTAGTTACAGGGGTATGGGCTGCGTGCAGGAAGATGGGACGAGAGAAAGGCATCTGGGTGTCTTTGGGTTGGCATGGACAAGATGAGCCAAATGGACTACTTCTGTGCTTTATCATTTCTATGGTCATGTGGACAAGGGCATTATGAGTTACACTTGACAGGACAAAGCTAAGGGGGCACTGTGCAGCCAAAAGGGACACAGCAGTTGCAAGTAGTTTTGTCAGCAAGAAATAATCCCAAAAGCCACTGATCTGTTGGGTTCAACAATTCACTGGGTCAATTCAACATGTGTGGAAAGGAGCATTTTCCAGATTCCTCCGCTGCTAGACATTTTCACAAAGACAGAGTCTGAAAGGAACAAAGTGTAGTACTGTTAAAGATATAAGAAATGTATGCAAAAGCTACACTGAGCAGATGTTCACTCTGCACAATACCTGTGATTCCTTTAGCTTTTTGTCATAGTCAGCCTCCAGCTTGACCAGTGGACCGAAGATGTTCTGGTATTGATAAGCATCTTCGTAACGAAGTAGTACATGCTGAGGCTCTTCATCCACTCCAGGTTTCTCCAGGTCCTCAAGGGTAGCAGAAGGATTATCCTAAAACAGACAGGGCATCTCCATTACAGAAACTATATTAAAATGTAATACTGAGGGGATTGGAAGTATTACCCATCTCATTTTAGATTCTGGCATTTCAATTTCTAATCAAACTAAGTATTCTAAACATAATAAATCTGTGATCAACATTGAGTAATGGCACACTGACATAATATTGTATTGATCTGCAACATATTCCCAGTCGTTTAGTGGTACAGAAATTGAGTATTGCTGAAAATAAAGCAGCATATGAATCTCAGTCCTGGTCAGAGGCTAGTGTGTCAGCTGTACCAACCACTAGTCATCAGGGCATATCAAATAGCATATCCCTTTGGTTGTTTGCAACAAACAATATACGGACCACACCCAACCAGCATTTGTAAAACTCATTATGCAAATTTAGATGCGATTCCACAACTGGGCAGCATCTGCTACATAATCCTGACTGTGCAAAGAATTATACTGACAACCGATTTCAGATCTTTAATGGGCGTGCAGTCAAGCGCACCCGTGTGTATTGGAAGCCACATATATTGGTTTGGAGGGCCCTATTTTTTGCAGATGAAAGAACACTTACATACTGCACCAGTTTCAACTCAACATGTGAGACAGCCATACACAGACTGATTTCTCACGGTGACGTTTTGACCAATCACAGTCAACTTGCATTGCTAAATGCCAAGCTTTGTTTAAATCTTAAACAAAGGTCGGCAGTTAACTCACACCATCATTAACTGCAGCATTCTTCATGACAAAGCCTTTACCAGAGTTTATTTGCCAACTAATCAGCATTCTCCTCTCCTGCAGTTTAAATGTTGCTTTCCACTTACTTTGGTAAGTGTTGCAAACTGTCCCAACAAGTAGGTGAAAGTCTTCAACAAAATGTTTATCAGCAATATTCTAATATGACATGATCTACAATAATTATTAAAGGAAAAAATCCTGAATGTTACATATACCATCAGCTTGTTGCACAGAAAATTAAAGCACACTCATCCTCCTCAATGCTCACACTGAGCACCAGGGGCTAAAAATGCAATGCACAATGAGCACAGTCTATATCCAAATTACTCTGCCATTCTAACAAAATGTGGTAAGAGGGATGACCTAGCTACTGCCTTTGGACACAGTTCTACTACTAAACAGTGTACAGTATAGAGGACTAACATTCAACTGACTTGGAAATAGGCATAACAGTCTCCAGAAGGTTGTCAGGCCTTCCAGTATGCAAGACCATGGGCCAAAGCTCTAATGACAAGCTTAACAGCTGAGCAACTTTCTAGGGGTGATAGCATTTCACCCGAGTGCTCTGGTTCCAATATCACACATTCCCTTTTGCACTAGATTGGAGCCAGTTGGTATTAACTTGCCCGTTACGCAATACATACCTTCCAGAGCTCCTCCAGTTTGTTGAT